CCTGGATTAATGTTGGATAAAAAGGAAAAAGGACTCATGTTGACCACCAGAAGGGTGGATGAAGAGAAAAAGAAAGGCTCAAAAGTTTTTCATTACATTTTAGTCAGAAATAATCTCTTGTCACTTGAAGGAGGAGGGGGATGGAAAAGTTTGAGAAGTTAGAATTGGTTTGCTATAACTGTTACTCAGGGAACTCAGAAGAAATAAACCTTATTGAAGTAAGTTGGACAAGATTTTGGAATCACCTCAATGGTGAGTTGATTTTGCTTTTGCAGCTGGTACTATGAGTTGGTGACAATCCTGGTCTCTTGAGTTTTAAAAGTGTCTCCTACCTTGGTCCAGGTTTGTCTGCTCCTGCACACAACATAGTTAGAATTTTAAAGCCGGCTTTATTTTTGCATTTTTATTTTGAGAAATGACATACTCTATGCAATGTACTAACCTAATCTGATTATTACAATCTAAACCCAACATTTTTTTACCAGTTGCATCCGTAGACAGTCAGAATGCTGGTTTCTTTTATTGTAACAGTAATCAATGTATTAAAAAAAATGCTTAGAAATAACTGATTCCATGTTCAAAAGATCTTAAAATCATTAATTATCCAAATTTGTATAATCTGAAAAGTTTTATTTCTTTCTTTCAAATGTTGCTCGGGTCATTCTTTTTGTCATTTGCCATGTAAAACAAATATGAACATATTAATAATTTGTCTTTATATTAGTGTTGCTCTTTTTTACATACCGGTAGAAATGACATCTGTGTATTTCACGTGTGAGTAGACTAGAGCAGTATTGAGTTCAGCTAAGATAGTGTGAACTTAGTATTTTCAGCACCAGGTTGTTGAGATTTTATAATATCATTTCTCGTGTGAACTATGTGCCCAAACGGTAACAAATGTAATTATTTTAGAAGCAAAATGTGTGCATTTTCCCTTTTCACTTACTGTGAATTTTGTTTCAAGTGCATTGTTGCAAACATATTGTGCTGCAATTCAAATTTCACTTTTCTAAAATAGTAACAGTAGAACAGCAACATTCTTAACTCTCCTTAGAATCAGATCTAGATTTTTTAACTAGTTTTATTTTTTTAACATTCTGAAATCAAAGTTGTATAAGAAAAAATGCTATTGAAAAGAGAAAAGCTAAAATGCCCCTCAAATATTGAAAAGATTCTCACATCTGAAATATGCCATGAAAGTAAACGTGAAAACAAAACAGTCTAAGTGGATAAAACCTGTGCTGAAAGGAAACAATTCATTATGGGCTAAAAATATACCTTTATAGAATACCGAAAAGGACAACTCAGGGAAAATAATAGGTCTTCCAGCTTACCTGCCCAAAAAAATGTGTTTCATCTCAAAAAGTGTTTCTGTTGGTCAGTCTTTCCTAATTTGTGCCTTTCGGTTGTGTTGGATGATTGTTCCTGAGGAACCATAGCTGTCTTGATTGAGTGAGTTGTAATCCTACATATCTGCAGGACATAAAGTTAGGCTGATATGTCTATAGTATGAGGAAGTTGTAGCTGGTGGGAGTGTATTTGCTGCTGCTCAGGGGGACAGGGGATTTTATGTTGTAGATTTTTTTAATGTTGTAAACCGTCAGCATGTGTGGGTTGGGCAGCCATATATTTTTTTGTTTAATAAATACAGTCAAATCCAGCAGATTCCTGGATAAGGTTATAGCTAATTGGAGTGATTTTCCATTAAAAATCTATAAACAAACTGATCTGCCTGGCCCAAACCACTTTTACAGACGGTTCCCAAAATATGACTGGCCGTCTCCCAATGTGAAGGTGTTAAAACAATTGGCCAGTCCACATTTATACTACCTGGAACTGACTGAAGCTCTGAGCCATGGCTGCAGGGATATCAAAACTTAGATGGCAGATGCTAGATCAGTGGTGGCGAACCTATGGCACGCGTGCCAGAGGTGGCACTCAGAGCCCTCTCTGTGGGCACGCGCGCCATGCCCCGGAGATGGCAACCGTCCCTCTTCAACCAGGCACCCACTAACTCACCGAGGTCCCACGTGGCCGGATGCATCCCAGCACGGCTGGTTTCCCTCCCCACCGTCCCATCCCTCCAGGCCTCGCATGCTCTCCTTTTCCCAGGCACGACCCACTGCATCTCCTCCTCAGCTGTCGGCTATCCATCCAGCTCAGAGCGGCTTCTCTGAACTGCTGATGGCGGGCTGCGGAGCCCGAGAGTACACCGGTCGAGGGGCCGGCAGGCTGTGGCTGCTGACGGACACTGTCGGCCCCCATGCGTTTGCTGGCCTCTGTGTGCGGGGGGGCGATGGTGTTAGGCAGCAGCCGCCCCGGCCCCTGCCTCGCCTTGCCCTGCGACAATGGCACCCCCGCCCTGCCTGGCCTCACCTCACGCCGCAGGACGAGTCTCCTGCCTACCGCCCCATCTGCCAGAGACCCCCTGGGCAGGGTTGATCTCCCTCAACCCTGCCCAGTCCCCACAGGCGGGACTCCCCATGAGCAACATCGAGGTGACCATGCCCACCTTGGGCACACCCACCCACTCTGCCATGACCACCACAGCCACGCCCACCTGGCACCTGGCGATAAATAAGTGAGTTTTGGGTTGCAGTTTGGGCACTCAGTCTCTAAAAGGTTCGCCATTACTGTGCTAGATGAAGCGTTCAACCTTTAAGAGTAGCAGACTTTTTGGGAATTCTTAAAGGGGCCCTGTTTCAAAGGACCAGAAATAAACCCCTTTAGTTAATTAAACTTAATTCCTTTCATCCCCAGTCTAGAAACAGAGGTAGAGGAGAATCCTGACTCTCTTGGAAGGGAACTGAATTGAGGCAAAGGACGATGCAGCAGTAACCCGAGTATTACCCCTTCCCTACATCTACAAAGGACCGCAAGCACCAGTGACTATCTGCCAGTAAGAAACAGGTGCTCCCTACTTGCCTAACAATAGCTCATCAGTACCATAGTTGCCTGGGTGTTTTAACACATTTTACCATGCCAAGCCATAGAATTCAAAAACAGACCTTACAATCAGTACATTTATTTTCATAGGACGAAACAGGAGAAGCGCCGCAATAGGCTTTTCAAGCTTTCATTCATCTGAAGGCATTTGAGTGCAGAATGTGGACCGCCGGGAAAAAAAGGTTTCTACTCCATTTTCTTCATTGTGCTTGTAAAAACGAGCCTTTGAGAGCCATTCTGGAAGATCAGTTGATTTACATCGTATCCTTATCCTAATTATCAGTGAGTTAAGCTTTTGGGCCAGGGGAGCTGATTTTAAGAACTCTAGATTCCAAGTTATTAAACTCCCTGGGACTTAAAACACAGTATGTTTTAAGCATGGAGGTCAAGGTGACCATATTAGCAGTTTACAAGTTCAGGCTTCTGCTATGTCATCATCGCATGCTATTCCTGACAAAATAATGGGTCGAGCACAACAATATGCTAAGCCAGAATTGAGGGTTTGTTTGTTTTTTAATCATGGGAGAGGCTTCAGAGATGATGCATGAGCTATCTCTGTCTCTGTCGCTTTCAACCAAGATTATTTAATGTTCTCACACCTGAGAAGTAAAGTCACTTTGCAGGTTCAATATAGTCGTGAGACAGTTAGGTCTACAAGCCTTTCTTGATATTACTGGATGTCTGATGAGGAATCTTTCAATAGATCTTCTTGCAGTACTCCAGCCACGTTCAAGCTGTCCAGTTCAATTCGTGGATCCTGATTAAAAATGTCTCAGTTTCAGTTGTGAAGAACACAGTGGATGAAAAGATGTCTTTCTTTGGGTTGGTTTTCTGTACACTCATGCTCTAACAAAATGTATCAGGAAAACATGAAAGATGTTGTTGGAAGAGGCTTTAGTTGCCAAGAACTTTTGAAAGCGGATCTCAAGATTCCCTTTTTCTTTACAGATGGAGATCTCTGGATTTCTCCTTAATGCAGACGAGTTTTTTCATTGAATGTAGAGTCAGTTCTTTATACCTCTGCTTTTCTCTCCTATGCTTCAAACTTCTTATTTATACTGCTTGTCTCTTAATTTACTGCTCTCTACTGCCATCTGTGGACTTGGATCTTGCTTGCCAGAAGGCATGGGAGATTAAATCTTGGAAAAGATAATCTCTTGTCCATTATAGGAAAAATCTTTATGGAAAGTCCTGGATGTGGAAGGACATTTATTTAGTAATATGTTTGTTTAGCATTTGTATGGCATCTACAAAGGTCATGCAATCACTGATATGATGGAAGGACATTGTTTTAGGTCTCTGTTGTGGACGCTTTTTATCAAGTGGGATCCATTCTATGACTGTCATCAGTTCTTGCTATGTGACCAGCCCATTTCCATTAGGAATTAATTAGATTAGAAATATATGTGCAAAACAACATGGTCACTTCCTTTTTTTTTTTTCCCCTCTCTCAAATGTAGCATCAGGAATACTGCAAATTATTTCCTGTTCTGGAAAATACTGGCCATTTCTCTAAATAGAAGAAGTATCCCTGACTTTTTGGGAGGAACCCATTTTGCACAACACTTGGGAAAAACAGAACTTTTGAGAAAGGGAATACACCATTCTATACATCCCAGTTAAGAGCCTGGATAGATCAGAACAATTAGAAAGTCATGAATTTTAAGAAAGTTACAAAGAAACCTTGTTTTTCTTGCTTTTGGGGAAATACAAGGACAATGGGGACGGGGAATTAGCTCTCATTACATTGGAAATGAAATTGCTCATAACTTTTACCATAGCGAGGGAGCAAATCAAAACACTTCTTACATTCTGGCCTGGTTGATTGCAAATGAATGTTGGCAATTCTTCAACTGTTCACTAGTTAAACTTGAACAAAGGCATATCAATACTTTTCCTCAAGTCAATTCTTATAGAAGGCAGTGTACCCAAAATGATTGATATTATCCTGCTTAACATTGACCGCTAGACTTCCCACGCAATACTGTGAATGGCTGTCTATTTTTCTTAGTGAATTTGCCAGACCTGACAAAACATATTTGATTAATAGCAGTATGGCTTTTATGTTAGATCGGACAGGTTGTACCGACTTGTGTCACTTGCTACTCTTACTGAGTTGGCAACAGACAGTGCTGATGGCATGTCTGGTTTTTAATTGCTTCTACTTATAGAATGTATGAAGAAAATGGAATATCCAAAGCTGAATGATGTGGCTATTGCCCTTACAAGCAAGCTGATCAAACTTTTACTACTGCTTATCTTACAGGAGATTAATATGGTATCTAGAATAATTTCTATATAGCCATTTATAGATACAAGAAACGGTAAAGAAGGTTCATGATGTTCTGTTTGGACAAAAATGTTTTGTTTTCAGAGACAGGCCTCAAACATATTCCTAAAAAGACCTTGTGAACTCTCAAGCTTCCTCCTTCCGTTATATATTCAAGATGGACAGTATTTAATATTTATTTGCTACGTATATGTAGGGATGTGGGTCTGTGCATATGTTGTTCATAGTATGTTTAGGTGTGCGTCATGTATGTGTTTCACTTTGAGAGCGGGCAACTAAATTTCATTTTTGATGTGTGCCGTTGTGCCCACAGTAAAAAAAATGACAATAAAGGTTATCTTATCTTATCTTACTATCTTTTTTTTTAACATAAATAGGTGGAGAAGCAAGGCCTAGTCCAAGTGGCAGCATAGGGTGCTTCAGTCTGTGGAATGTCTTCAGGTATGAAAAATTAACTACAAATCTCATGGGTTGAAGATAAAAGATGCTAAACTGTAAACTAATATGAGGATAGAGAAAATTACTCCAGAAGGGAGAATAGGATTGATTTTGCTTTTTCTGGGGGAAAAAGTATCACGCACCATGTCTAGGTAGATACAATCTTCTATATAAATAAAAATGTAAATGTTCGTTTGTTCAAAATCTTAAATCTCCGAAAGTTCTTCACCGATTGCTTTGAAATTTTGACGTAACGTTGCATTCGAATACGCGCGTGTTTTTATATACCGACTATTATATAGATGTCACACCTGTGACAGGTAAAAACATGCTTTTTGTGAAAAACACCGCCATCTGTTGGACGTAAAAGCAACACACCTCTTTTCCATTTAACCAGACTGAGCCACAGCAACGTGTGGCCGGGTACAGCTAGTAGATTATAAAAATCCATTTCTTTCCTTGCATCCTCAGGGAAGATAACAAATATCACCGTGGGTCATGGCTCTGAAAATTAGGCCAACGAATAAAATCAGGTGCTGCCTCAGGAATGTAGAGACTTTACAACAGGTTTCCTTAAGGGGTAGTTGAATAGAAGGCACTATTTTTGGGGGGGGGGGGAATACAGAATTTAAAAACGATTAGAAAATCACAAGCAGAATTTAATAATTGGACTTCACTAAGTCAAATTCACATGCACAAAATGCCAAGCTCTCTGATTTGCCAATAAAGGAGAATATGTGTAGCTCAGAATTGAAATGAGGGGTCCTTGGTGCTCTCTTGAGCTTGCACTGATGATGTTACCTAGTTTGGGTAATGAAACATCTGCAGAAAACAACCAAGCTCAGAGAGGACCAAGGACCCCTCACCAAACTGTTTCGAATCCAGTTTTTTTTTTATTCAACTTGGCTACTTTGAACGTCACACAATTAGAAGAGTAAAAAGTTGATGATTCAGGTAGGGATTCTCACATTGATTGAACCCTGATTGATTGCAGATAACAGGGTTTGTCGGTCTTAGATGCATTCAATGAATGCTTGATTTTTAATTTTGTCTTTTCCACAGCAGCACAGGTGTGAGAGCAGGTTGGCTTGAGCCCTGTTGCTTTCTGTGCTTAGTATTTGCCCCTTTCAGCAAACGTTCTGTAGATTTCTTCATTTCACTATTTATTGTTTTGAATTGTACTAGAAAGATAAATTGGAACATCGCTCAGCTTCACTCTTGCTCATGCTGTGGTGTTTCGCCACAAAACATTTATTTAATTTGCAACGCTCAGTGTGACTGAAATCCAAGGAGTGGCTTGCCTACTGTGATAAAATGGTTTTTCAAAAACCACAAACACGGTGAGGAATTCTTCATTGGGACGCTTCTTAAGGCAATATAAGTTCAGCAGAAGATGAGTATATTTCATTATGTACCATTTGCTTTAGGCTGGAAAAAAAACAAAAGAAAATTGCATGCCTAGATGGTAAGTTACAAACAAGAGTAATTGACATGGCGTAGCATCTCGAGACACATCGGTTAAAGCACCAGCTTTAGTAGACTTTGGAGCTTGAAGTAGCCTTAGTGCTAAACTTAACGTAGCAGGTGATTGCATCTTTTATATGCAAAAGTTCAGAAAATAGATCTTGTTTCTTTTATTTGTAGAGCAGGATTATTCACCAGATAACCCCAAACTCTAGCATTTGTACTGGGAGTTGGATTAATAGAGAAGAAGGACATGTTCTGTTCTTTAAATGAACCAGAATCACAGTGCAATTTTTTTCACCTCTGCAGTTTGAAGACAAAACGGATACAGTGTTTGGCAACAGAGAAGAACGTGAGTATGCAATCGTTTGCTCATGAAATATTTCCTTAGCCATTCTGTTTGTGTGTGTTTTGTACGTATGAGTTACGCATGTTTATGTTAAGAAAATCCAAAATTCGGGCACTTGTAAATGCTGCATATGCTGGTAAAGATGGCAACGAATCGTGCTCAAAACCTCTCTACTGTTTGATTAGCTGGATTAGGCCAATGGGCACCTTTCCCATCTCTGGTTGAATATAGCCCACAGGAATTAATAGTGAGAGTGACTGATTTACTTCTGACACCCTTGAAATTTGTAGTACAGCTACTTTTTATATGGTATTTTCATTTTGTGTCATACTGACTCAAAAGAACGTTGCAAATTTAGAATAGAATAGAGAGAGCAGAATAGAAATAGAAATAGAATAGAATAGAATAGAATAGTCTGAAGGGATCTTGGAGGTCATCTAGTCCAACCCCCTGCACAGGCAGGAAACCATACACCATTTCAGACAAATGGCTGTCCAGTCTCTTCTTAAAAACTTCCAGTGTTGGAGCATTCACAGCTTCTGGAGGCAGGTTGTTCCACTGGTTAATTATTTTAACTGTCAGAAACATAAAAAGGTTTCACTACTGCTGTAGTTACTTTTCACAGAGTGTGAGAAAAGTCTAATTGAAAATGGGGGGGTCTGATGATTGGAAAGAATTTAATGAAAGTTTGTACACCTAATTTAAAAAGCAACCTCCTCGCAAAAATAACATAGTCTTTCAGAGAACTCAATTGGAAATATGTTTAGGTTAGACAAATCACATTTTTTTAAAAAAAAGCTATGAATGTGTTCAGCTATATGTTAGCCCCTGATTCTAAATGAGCTGCTTCTTTTTTTTTTTTTTTTTTTTATAAAGACATCCCGTTGTCTTCCCCTGTTTAGGTGCAAACCTTATAAATTCTGAGATGTCTGAGAAGACAGTCCACAACCTCAGTCCTGCTTTTGACAGCATCCCCTACAGAATGCAGAACCGGACAGGATCCACCAACTCTTTGCTGGATGACAGTGATTACTTCCTGAACTCAGGAGACCTTGCAGGAATTCCTGTGGTTGGGAGTGACAATGAAGAAGAGCAGACTTTTGCTCCAAAGGACGGTCTGTCTTCTGCCCTTCGCTGTGAAGATAGCCGGGGAGACGGGAGGAGGGTCCGGGATCATGTGGTGGACAGTGAAAAAGACACCCCGATGCCAAACATGATCCAGAAGGATCTCTCTCCCCCTTTTGACAAGGGATCCTCTGTGTTTAAGTCCCTGCGGAAAGACTTTAGCATCGCAAGAGACGATAGTAAAGACCCTTTTTTGACAAAGGAGAAAATCAGAGAAGGATCTTTCCAAGAACGTGACAAACGCTTGGAAAAAATGCCGAAAGAGCTAGATTCCAGATTGAAAAGCAGTTTGCTTGATAAATCAGGTAATATTACTCACTCAGAGCTCCTGCTTTTTTCAGGAACTGGCTCATACTTCACGCTCAGGATAATATGGATGGTTCTTTCTCAGCTAGCACGAGACTTCGGCCATGGTGGGGGTTTCGTTTTCAACAAATCCTAGTTAAATTATTGCCTATCAGATTAGGAGAAACAGATCAGTGAGACATCTACAGGGATCTTCCCTGTAAATCATGATTCTCCAGTGTTTTGGCTTGCTTGGACCGCATTGAGTAAAGAGGAACGGCCTGGGGCCGCATCTAAAATATATAACATAGTTAATGTATATAACAAACTTCTTTTATTTCTTATGTTGTTACTATCTTGTGGGGCTGCAATACTAACTTTCCAGGGCTGCCAGATTGTGCAGCAAAAGTCTAACCCATATTTCCAACTTGTGGTCTGCTCTTTGGACTTCTGTTGTTTCCTTGCTGTTCTCAAGGTTGGCATGCCTCTTCTTGACCCACATGCTTTAATTCTATTTTAAAAATTTGAAGCTTCTTAGTTCCACCCGTTTAAGAAACGGAAGCACTGCTGAATAAGTTATCTTTGTTTCCAAAAGCATCTGAAGAAAATACATTGACGTATGTGACACATGCTCACTTTAGTTACTCTTGCTAAAACCCTAAATAACTATTTGGAAGATACTGGTATAAATGATTCGGGTTTCCACAAGCTTCCAAGGATTTTTTCCCCCCCCCTATTTAAAATATTTCTCATTGCACTTTTTGTGTTTCCCAGTTGCGAATCAAGTAGATGAAACGTTACGGACACATTTAGCACCGCAAACACCAGAAACTAACTTTAGGGTAAGTAGCAGCTCTCGTGACGTGTTTTTTTTTATTAAGAGTTGCTTTGCAGAGTCAGAGGGGTGGCAGGCACATTTAATAAGTAAATAAAATTATGTGCCATAGAACACTTTCTGGGGGCTAGGATTACTGTAAGAACTTCATGATGCTGTTGTACCTTCAGCTAGTGATTGTTCAAGCTGTTCTAATGTCCCAGAAGAGTGGGGTGATTAGAGGGTAACCATGGGGTATTTGGCTCTGAACTTAGAAAAGAAAAGGGTGCAGCTGAAAGGCCAGGGAAAAAGTGAATAAATTGCTCGGATAGAAAACAGAACCGAGGCCACAAACATAGTAGCCTGCCTGCAATTCTTTTAAGGATGCTGCATCTTTTCATGGTAGTTCACTTGGTAGTTGCAGAGAACAGCTGCATGATGCTGAGTAACGGAGTAGCAGCGAGCTGCAAATACGGCCTGCCTTCATGTACACTGTATATCAGTGGTGGCGAACCTATGGCACAGGTGCCAGAGGCGGCACTCACAGCCCTCTCTGTGGGCACGTGCACCATGCCCCGGAGATGGCAACTGTCCCTCTTCAACCAGCCGCCTGCTAACTCGACAGGGTCCCACGTAGCCAGATGCATCATGACATGGCTGGTTTCCCCCCCCCCCCCCCGTCCCATCCGTCCTGGCCTCGCATGCTCTCCTTTTCCCGGGCACGACACACTGCATTGCCTCCTCAGCTGTCGGTCAGCCATCCAGCTCAGAGGCGGCTTATTTGAACTGTTGGCGGCGAACTGCAGAGCCCCAGTGTGCACCTGTTGAGGGGCCAGCAGGCTGTGGCTGCCGACAGACACCGTCGGCCTCCATGTGCTCGCTGGCCTCTGTGTGCGGGGGCCAATGGTGTCAGGCAGCAGCTGCCCAGGCTCTTGCCTTGCCCCATGGCAATGGCAACCCCACCCTGCCTCACCTTACCCCACAGGACGAGCTTCCTGCCTACCACCCCACCTGCCAGAGACTCCCTGGATCTCCCCCAACCCTGCCCACCCCCCACAGGCATCCCTCCCCACGAGCAACACTGAGGTGACCACACCCACCTTGGCCACACCCACCCAATCTGCGATGACCACCACAGCCATGCCCACCCAGTGGGCCACGCCCACCTGGCACCCGGCGATAAATAAGTGGGCTTTGGGTTGCAGTTTGGGCACTCGGTCTCTAAAAGGTTCGCCATCACTGCTGTATATGAATGCCAAAGCACTTTTCTAGAATAAAGCCTGAAGCACTGCATAGCCCCGATGCACTAAAGCATGTTTCCCACATCTGCTTTCTAGGAATCTAGCTACCTGTTTGCTAATAAAGACTCTGTTGGCCAAGAGCTCGGGAATTCCTACGCCTCCAATATTAGAATCAAAGAAGAGCCTTTGGATAATGACTACGATAAAGCTATGGCACCTCAGCCGGGGCTGCTGAATAAAATTAAGGATGAACCAGACAGTACTGAGGTAAGATCCATCTCTGTTTTCAGGCACAGGTTGTTTTGAGGGTGCGTCGATAGTTTTGAGATTCACTCAATATTAATAATAATGAGCCACTCCTATGCCACATAGTATTCTAAATGCATTAAATGCAGGAAAAGCCATTTCATAGATCGGGATATTTACAGCAGGACTCCTATGTCGCTGATTGCACTGGTGGGGGTTACATGGTGTGTATTCTAGATTAGGGCTTGCATGCTTCTGGTTACATCAGCTGGAATTTTCATCTGTGACCCTTTTGTTTCAGGATTATGGCCAGCAGCCAAAAACTCAGGAAGGGGAACTGAAAATCAGTGCTGTGTTTTCTGTCAGTGGCAGCCCTCTCGGTAAGGATCAAGATTTGGGCCGGATGGGAATTAACAGGCATTTTCTGTCTACCGGTTGCTTGGAGAAACAATTTCACATGTTTTACATAGACAAGACTAGCCCTCCCCAACATGGCATCTTCTAAAGGTGTAAGGGGGTGTTGCTTACTCACTTGGTTTATACCCTGGCTGGCCTGCAGGAGTTCAAGGTTGCATAGGGGGAATGCCTCCCTTTATCTTATCCCCACAGCTTTGTGAAATGGGTTGAGCTAAGAAAAAGTGGCTGGCCCAGAGAGTTTCCACGCCTAAGTGTTGCATTAAATCTGGGTTTCCCTGGTCCCTAAGCCAACACGCACCCCCATCATCCTTCCAGAATTCCCAGCCAAGTTAACTGTTTTAATGAAGGAAACTTGACCTAGAGAAATTATGTAAGAAGTGCTCAATAGGGGTTGTTGGATTTTTTTCCTTTTCATCTGTCGGGAATGGGGGGGGGGAGAAATGCATTTGCAGAGGGGGTAAAGTATGTTTAACATGAGATTCCACAGGCGAGAAGACAACCTCAGTAGCATTGTGTGTGTGTCTGTGTGTGTGTGTTTTGTTTTTGATAAGCTCCGCAGCTGACCTCAGGTTTCCCACCTAACACGCCACCCTCTGGCATGAACAAGCTACTTCCTTCGGTCCCAAGCACGGCCGTTCGGGTTTCCTGTTCGGGATGCAAGAAGATCCTGCAGAAGGGGCAGACGGCCTATCAGAGGAAGGGCTCTACTCAGCTCTTCTGCTCCACACTGTGCCTCACGGGATACACTGTTCCAGCCGCTCGGCCACAGCCTTTCACCAAGAAAACGTGCTCCAGCTGCTCAAAGTAAGGGCAGATACACGAAACCGATCTCACTTAATCCCCATCCAGAGATCGCCTGGAATCCAGCCTTTGGATTCCTTACAAGTTTTACTCTCTGCCTCTGGACTTGCAGGAGGTCAGCGTTAAAGCACCATGGCCAGCCTTCCACGGGGCTTTAACCCAAAGGGTGTGGCAGTTACATTTTGTAGTGCAGCGATGGCGAACCTTTTAGAGACCGAGTGCCCAAAACCCGCCTGCCCCCGTCACTCCGCCCCGCCCGCTCCACCCCGCCCCACCTGCCAGGCCACCCACCGCCTCCACGGCCCGCCACAGATCGCTCAGGCAGCTCTGCAGCGCCATGGTGGACACGCCCTCCATCCGCGCCCCACAGCATCATCTGCGCACGACGGGGCGCGAGGGCGGAGTCTTGTCCCTGCTGCCCAGCTGCCATGTGCTTGGCTGCGCTGCTCCGTGCCCGGGGGCGACTCTCCTCCAGGGGGGCTGCTGATGGGGTGGCAGGGCTAGGGCGATGACGCGCGTGCCCACAGAGAGGGCTCTGAGTGCCGCCTCTGGCACGCGTGCCATAGGTTCGCCACCACTGTTGCAGTGCTTTCATTTTCTTATAGGAAAGCAGAGCCTGTTAAAATCCTTTACAGTGGCCTCTGGGATATATAAGACAATGCTGGATATATGAGGCCGTGCTTTGCCAGAATTAAGTCCACCAGTCTGATCCAATCTCCCAGAGTGTCTGTTGCAGCAACCCCTTCCATGGTTCATAGGATGGAGACCAGGCTGTAGGTCTTCCTAGTGGTGGATCTTTCTTTATGGAATGTCCCTCCCTAGTATTTCATAAGCAGACCAAAGCAGTTTTACTCCAGAATGCATTTGACCCCTGGTTTACTTTTACTGAAAGCTGTGGTATTTACTGCTTTCTGTCTTACGACACCATTTAATTTTGTATACTTTTGTTCTTCATTTATATGTTGACCTTGTTGTATCTCACTCCCATCCCCAATCTCTTTTGATTGGTGGGTGACTGTAAATAAATAAATCCAGGGTAAACAAAACTTGATCAATTAAAGCAACAATTGATGACCTCACTTTGATAAAAGTTTTCATCCCTGTGCAGAATGCCGGCTGGCTTCTTGTTGTTATTATCCTATATATATATCCTGGGGACATAATTGAATATTGGTATTTAAACTTCATATAATAGTATTGGTGCCATTTGCCTTTGGTACTTTCCCTATATTATCTTCTTGGTTAAAAAAAATCATTAAGGGTGCATCTCTGCAAAAATATTGGAAATACACACATATTCAACATCAAAAGGCACAGATCACCAAGACTAAAAATTTATTTAGAACTTCGCTTTCGTCAGCGTCTGCTGACATCGTCAGAGTTTTAAGCCAGGATTGAGGAACACGTTCTTATAATCTCTGCAGAGCCAATGGTTTGGCTAATGAGCGTGTTACGGGTCTATTCGGCTCCCTCCCGTAATCAATTGCCCCGTTCTTGTTTCCGTTGGGCTCAATCCGGGCGTAAACTCTGACCATGTCAGCAGACGCTGACGAAAGCTAAGTTTTAAATAATTTTTTAGCCTTGGTGATCTGTGCCTTTTGATGTTGAATATGAATATACCCGAGACTCATATTTTTAAGACTATTTTAGAAATACAACACACCGTATCTCAAACTTCTCTGTTTGCTCTCGTCATTTTGCTCCAGGGAATTGGGGTCTCTGCAGGATTCCAATTCAGCTGGTGGGTGGCATTGAGCAAACAACATTCTTGGCACCACTGATACATATTTGATAAATTAAAGTGAATCATCACCCCAAGGATTCCCACCCCAGGGATTCCGCTGCCTGGCGTCCTTAGTCATGTTAGGATTACCACTTCCATGCTGCTTGAGAAACCTGCAAGTTGCAGATCCAATTAATCGGGAGTGGGGGGGGAGCACCAGAGACATTACAGATACAGCCACGGCTTTTGTTCTGTGTGGATCCGTTATTTCTGAGCCTGAAAAAGTTAACTCTCTTTCTCTGAACTGTGTAGGGACATCCTGCACCCAAAAGATGTGATTACAGCTCAGTTTGACAATACAAATTCCAGCAAGGATTTCTGTAGCCAGTCCTGTCTTTCTGTATACGAGTTGAAAAGGAAGCCCGTGGTCACCATCCATACAAACAGCATCTCCACCAAATGCAGCATGTGCCAGAAGAACGCAGTGGTAACCATCTTTGCCAATCTTTCCTTGTTCTGAACGTTTGGGGTTGTTCTTCTGAGTTGGCTACCTTTGGGGGCTAGAGCCGTCACGTTCAGCATGCGTTCAGCTACGAAGCTCCTCAGGTTGCTTTTGATTAAACCATCAAATCTGTCGAACTTTACGAGTGGATTTTTGAGGTACAATTGGTAAAAGCATATTGCACCTGCCCCTGAACTAAAGAAATGGTAAACCGTAACGAGGAATAATCTGCAGCTCTGCAGAAGAACCTCCCCGGGAATTCTGTTGACTTTTATCTAGCGCCGTTAGTAGATCAGATTCTTGTGTAGAGGTAGCATGAAATACTCTCAATATTTTTGAACTCTAACCCTGCTCTTGGTTTCTTGCACTGCACAAAATCTTACATATAAATCTAGATGTTGCTTTTCTGAGTCAAGTCTAAGAGAGATTTCCTTCCTTCCTTCCTTCCTTCCTTCCTATCCCATCCCATCCCATCCCATCCCATCTTACCATATCTTTTATTTTTGGACTTTTTAAGAGCCTGGTGGCTGAATGGTTAGAATGCAGTATTGCAGAGTAAATCTGCCCACAGTCAGGAGTTTGATCCTGTCAGGGCTCGAGGTTGACTCAGCCTTCCATCCTTCTGAAGTTTTTAAAATGAGGACCTCAGAGTGTTGGAGTGCCGTAAAGCATTATGGAGCAGCATATAAATTTAAGTGCTACTGTTTTGAAGTTCGTACTCATCAATGTGCAAACTACATTCAGAGAGAGAGAGAGAGAGAGAGAAGATAGATAGATAGATAGATAGATAGATGGAGGGAGGGAGGGAGGGGGAGAGAGAGAGAGAGAGAGAGAGAGAGAAGCTCCTATAAGAGAAGGAAGAGTCGGAGGTAGTTCTTTTGGCAGTAACCCCTTTTCCTACCTACAGATTCGGCATGAAGTGAATTACCAGAACGTGGTACACAAGCTCTGCAGCGATGCCTGCTTCTCCAAGTTTCGTTCCGCAAACAACCTGACCATGAACTGCTGTGAAAACTGTGGGGGCTACTGCTACAGTGCTTCGGGACAGTGTCACATGCTTCAGATCGAGGGGCAGTCCAAAAAGTTTTGTAGCTCAGCCTGCGTCACTGCCTACAAGCAGGTCTGTGTTTTCTCCCGCCTTCTGGTTTCTGAAGAACACATTTCTTTGCAATAGGACTTTGCACGTCAGGTTTCCTGAGGAGGAGGAGGAGGAGGAGGAGGAGGAGGAGGAGGAGGATAATAATAAAGTTGGAAGGGATCTTGGAGGTCTTCTAGTCCAACCCCCTGCTCAGGCAGGAAACCCTATACCAGTGATGGCGAACCTTTTAGAGACCGAGTGCCCAAACTGCAACCCAAAACTCACTTAGGCATCGTCGGGTGCTGGGTGGGCGTGGCTCATTGGGTGGGTGTGGCCCATTGGGTGGGCGTGGCTGCAGTGGTAACGGCAGACTGGGTGGGACTAAAAAGTTCAATCAGTGAGTTCCAACTTTGCGAGATCTTTTTTTTTTCCCGCAAGAAGTTGAAATTGATTGATTGAACCTTTTTTTTTTTTTTTGCACACGGCGGCGGAGGCCTAAAGCGAAAAGGTTTTATAAAAACTGAAGGCCTAGGACTGGGGTGACGGTGCGCGTGCCCACAGGGAGGGTTCTGCGTGCCACCTGTGGCAGCCGTGCCATAGGTTTGCCACCACAGCCCTATACCATTTCAGACAAATGGCTGTCCAGTTTCTTCTTAAAAACTTCCAGTGTTGGAGCATTCACCGCTTCTGGAGGCAGGTTTTTCCATTGGTTAATTGTTCTGACTGTCAGGAAGTTTCTCCTTAGTTCTAGGTTGCTTCTCTCCTTGATTAGTTTCCATCCGTTGCTTCTTGTCCTGCCTTTGGGCGCCTTGGAAAATAGCTTGACTCCCTCTTCTTTGGGGAAGGCTGCTTCAAGGCCATCTCTTCAATAGAAGAAGCTCCCTCGGGCTGCCTGTGGGAGGAGACGCTGCCCGTCAGGGTAGTATATTGCAGATGGGCCTTGACTCAACAATTGGGACCAGAATTTCTGTTGCTAAGCAAGGCAGTTGTTAAGTGAGCTGTGCCTGATTTTATGACAGTTGGTTTGGTTTTTTTTTTTTTTTTTGGCCATGCTTGTTAAGCAAATCCCTGCAGTTGTTAAACGAATCGTGCAGTCGTTAAGCGAATCCGGCTTCCCCCATTGACTTTATCAGAAGATGGCTGGGAAGGTTGCAAATGGAGAGCACGTGGTCACATGGCTACCACCATTGCAAATACCTGTCGGTTGCTAAGGGCCCAAATTTTGATCGTGTGACCAGGGGGATGCTAGAACAGTTGCCAGTCATTTCTTCCGGTGCCCTTATAACTTTGAACAGTTGCTAAACAAAATGGCTGTAAGTTGAGGACTTAATCTGTATTGGACTTATTCTTATTCTTCCATACTGGACAAATCCCTGCCAAGTAACAAGTTTTGAGCGGATAACTGACAGCGAGCAGCAGCCCATTTCTAGTGTTTTGAAAAAAATTGAAAAACATATCTTGCCAATTTTAGGGGGAGTGGGGACCCAGTGCCCCTGTCAACATTCTCCACATTGTAAGATGCAAACGTTTTCAGAGATCTACTGTATCTGTCCTTGAGCACTCTCCATATGAGGACCCAAGTTCTCCAGGACCCTCATGAGTATAGAGATTCTGAATATATATCTATATTATATTTCATAGCACCTGATGAGAACGATTGGAAAAGGGAAATTAAGCCTTCCAACCAACACTTTCCCCACTTTACAATTTACAGGGGGGGATAATACTTAACGGAGAATGTATTGAGTCAAGAGGAAATTGTGTACAGGTAGCCCTTGACTGACAACCACAATTCAGCCCAAAATTTCTGTGGTTAAACAAGATGGTTGTTAAGTCAGTTTTGCCCCATTTTACGCCCTTTCTTGCCAGAATTGTTAAGGGAATCACCGCAGTTGTTAAGTTAGTAACACAACTATTAATTGAACTTGGCTTCCCCATTAACTTTGCTTGTCAAAGGTGGATCACATGACCCCAGGACACGGCAACCCTCATGAATACATGCCAGTTGCCAAGCATCTGAATTTTTATCATGTGACCACATGCTGCAACTGTTGTAAATGTGAAAAATGGTCATGTTACTTTTTCAGTGTCATAATTTCAAAAGGTCACTAACTGAATGGTTGTGAGTCGAGGACTTCCTATACTTTCCCTCTGTCTATCATTTTTCAATTAAGACCGAGCTCTCTTATCATGACAGACAATTCCTGCCTTTCGTGTGACATGTGACAACTGGGGTAACTTTCTGTGGTCTGCCAAATCGAGGGAGCGCATGTTTGAAGCTAAACAAACCTTTTCTCCTAGTATTGTTGCTTTATGTATGGTTCCTTTGTTTTTCCTCCCCCCCCCCAGAAGTCTGCAAAAATTACCCCCTGTGCAATGTGTAAATCTCTGAGATCTTCAGCTGAGATGATCGAAAGCACAAATAATGTGGGGAAAACGGAGCTCTTTTGTTCCGTGAATTGCTTGTCGGCACACAGAGTCAAAGTGGTCACATCGTCAGGTATTCACATAAATTTCTCCTTAATTTCATATATGTTCCGAAAGCAACGGGAGAAGCCTGTATTAATAAATTCCCTCTCTTTTCTTTGCACGTGTTGCTTCATTTATTTTCTCTCTCAGGTGTCCAGGTCCAATGTAATAGCTGTAAAACCTCAGCCATCCCTCAGTATCATCTTGCGATGTCAGATGGAAGCATACGTAATTTTTGCAGCTATAGCTGTGTGGTGGCTTTTCAGGTACATCTTAAATCACAGTCTTGTCTCCTTACTTTGATTGCACCATTCTGAATACATGTGAGTCAGGGGAGGTGGAATGCTGCGGGGATTTGTCAGGAGAGAACCAAGCCACATATTCTGTCCTACAGCACATACCCTTTGAGGTGAAAAAAGCACGTGTGGCTTTAATTCTCAAGGAAGCTGCTGGAGCTGCCCCTGTTAAAATTTCTAGACAGTTTTGTCAAATCTGTGTATCAGAAGCCTTTCTGTTAGAGGGTTTGGCAGCCTCTGGGATGTTTGGAAGAGGCCAAGTTGTCCTGGTAAACAGAAGACTGAAGTAATAATCTCTCTTTAAGCTGTTGCGGCGTAGAATTTCTGTTCCTTCCATGCCACAAACAGGTGGGCTTGAATTGGGCCTCTCTGCAAGATACCAAATCCAGCCATCTCTTTATAGACCAGCAGTAAGAATGCCATATAACCGTGGTGGCGAACCTATGGCACGCATACCACAGGTGGCACGCAGAGCCCTCTCTGTGGGCACGCACACCGTCGCCCCAGTCCTGGGCCTCCAACTCAGTTTTATAAAACCTTTTCGCTTTAGGCCTCCTCCGCCGTATGCACACAAAGAAAAGGTTCAATCAATCAATCAATTTCAACTTCTCGCGGGGAAAAAAAAAGATCTCGCAAAGTTGGAATTGATTGTTTCAACTTTTTAGTCCCACCCAGTCTGCCCTTACCACCGCAGCCACGCCCACCCAATGGGCCATACCCAGCTGGTACCCGATGATACATAAGTGGGTTTTGGGTTGCAGTTTGGGCACTCGGTCTCTAAAAGGTTCGCCATCACTGCCATATAACACGCAAGATTGCTCCATAGAGGTCTTTCAGAAGGTTACCGTGTGGGGGTTGCGAAACAGCCACTAGATGGCAGCAGCAAGGAGGTAGAACTTTCTGAATTTCTTCACTGCCATCTAGTGGCCCTGGAGATGTTTGCAGCTAGATAGAGTAACCGCCGTTTTGATGGCTCGTGGTTAGATCGTTTAAGTCTCAATTGGATAATACTGGAGGTGAATTGGGCAGGGATAGGGCTTCATTGTGCAACTCTGTCCCTTCCAGAATTTGTTCAACAAGCCCACGGGAATGAACTCCTCCGTGGTGCCCTTGTCACAGGGCCAAGTGATTGTCAGCATTCCCTCAGGAGCGACGGTCTCTGCAGCGGGCAACACTACCTCAACGGTCTCTCCCAGCTCGGTCAGCAGCTCAGCCGCAGCCGGACTCCAGAGGCTGGCTGCCCAGTCGCAACAAGTCTCCCGCACTGTCGCCAAGCTCAGGTGTCAACACTGTAATCGTCTCTTTGCAACGAAGCCCGAAGTGCTCGACTACAGGGTAATTGGCACCTGCCATTGTTGTTGTTCACAGATGCCTTGACGTCGGACACATGAGGGCTGTAATTGTGGACCAGAGGCCTAGTGAAAGGCAAGGTCGTGTGTATTCCATGCTTAGTTCTCCCCCCCCCCCTTTAAAATTGTTTGCGCCAACAGAGAAAGTGACACTTGAGACTTCTGTGAATAACGCAGATTGTTCCTATTTGCATAATGTCTCCTTTTGCTGAGTCCTTGTACGCTAAATAACTACATTCAAACGTTACTCTGCAAACCTCTCACCTGTAAGGTAATTCCCAGGGAGGGGGGGAGAGTATAGGACAATTTGCCGTCACCGTCTCATCACGGCCATCTTGCCACAACCAACTCATCACGGGACAATTCCAGATGGAATTAACCCTAATGCAATAAATGTTACCCTCCACCGTTTCTTCGATGTTACTTCCATTTTGGTCAGTGGCAATAATGTCGAAGAAACAGCGGGAGGGACAACATCGCATTGAGTTACCCTGTGTGGAGTTGTCTCGCAGCGAGACGGCTGTGGCGAGTTGTCCCATTCCGTTTCCGGGGTTTGGTTTGGTTTTTGCAGCTTATAAAATTGGCAAGAATGCACACTCTTTTTTCCAGCTGCTGGGAATCTTTTACCACCATTCTGTCTTCTGAAATTCGGCAGGCGTTGCTCACATGTTTTTGAACTAATCCCATACAGCTTTAAGACCTAAGCCATGGATTTTTAATGATAGCTGTGGGTTTTCATTTCTGAGCAGACTACAAACCAGCACCTCTGCAAATGGCAGCCGGTAGTCTTTATGAATGACGGATCTTGGCAGGTTCTCAGTGTGTGTGTGGGGGGGGGGTTGTCTTTTTAATAGAAATGGGTGAACTTGCATTTCTTTTAGATAAGCACACAATGGCATGTTCTTTTCCGAATTGCACTCCATTTTTATTTTTATTTTTGCGCTTGATTGCAGGGCAAAATGTTCCAGTTTTGCGGAAAGACCTGTTGTGATGAATACAAAAAGATAAACTGTGTCATGTCAATGTGTGAATACTGCAAAATTGACAAGATCGTTAAAGAAACAGTGCGATTTTCAGGCATTGATAAATCATTCTGTAGCGAAGGTAAGAAAGCATAGATGAGATAAGATAGATAAGATAATCTTTATTGACATTTTTATACTTGTGGGCGCAATGGCACACATCAAAAATGAAATTTAGTTGCCTGCTCTCAAAGTGAAACATACATGACACACACCTAAACATACTATGAACAACATATGTATAGACCCACATCCCTACATATACGTAGCAATAAATATTAAATATTGTCCATCTTGAATATATAATGGAAGGAAGAAGCTTGAGAGTTGAACCTGCATTCAGTCCCAAGATACGCAGTGGTGGAAATGGTCATTTTAATCATCATTTTTTCCCATATATCCTCCTGTGTAAAATAAAAAGCTTTACCTTTTGAATTGCAAAAGAATTTGCGTCTGAAATTGTTATGCTTGGGAGAGTTACACCTTGGGGGGGGGATGGTTGGAGAATTCTAAGTCATTGTCATTTGTTGTTTCCTGCTCTCTTTTTTTTAGGCTGCAAATTGCTTTACAAGCATGACTTAGCCAAACGTTGGGGGAATCACTGTAAAATGTGCAGCTACTGTTTGCAAACCTCTCCAAAACTGGTGCAGAATCACTTTGGAGGCAAAGTGGAGGAATTCTGTTCAGAAGATTGCATGTCAAAGTTCACGGTTTTATTTTATCAAGTAAGTTATCCTGGCACTCTTCAAATCTGTCTTCTACCGATTCTTCTTCTTGGAAAAACAGTACTTCAGCACAGCAGGGTATCTTTTTGTTGTTGTTAGTTGCAAAGTCGTGTCCGACCCATCGCGACCCCATGGACAATGTTCCTCCAGGCCTTCCTGTCCTCTACCATCTTCTGGAGTCCATTGAAGCTCACGCCTACTGCTTCAGTGACTCCATCCAGCCACCTCATTCTCTGTCGTCCCCTTCATCTCTTGCCCTCCATCTTTCCCAGCATTAGGCCCTTCTCCAGTGAGTCCTTCCTTCTCATTAGGTGGCCAAAGTACTTGAGTTTCAACTTCAGGATCTGGCCTTCTAAAGAGCAGTCGGGGTTGATCTCCTCTAGGACTGACCGGTTGGATCGCCTTGCAGTCCAGGGGACTCGCAGGAGTCTTCTCCAGCACCATAGTTCAAAGGCCTCCATTCTTTGGCGCTCAGCCTTTCTTATGGTCCAACTTTCAGAGCCATACATTGCAGCTGGGAAAACCATGGCCTTGACTATACACACTTTTATTGGCAGGGTGATGTCTCTGCTTTTTAGTATGCTGGGTATCTTTTATCACCAGTGAATTATTCGGGATAGAAAGTACCGAATCTGGCTTCAGAGATGCTTAAGTGTTGTCAGTGAACCTTAGAATATATCTCTTTTTTTATTTTTTTTTATTGATTTTCCAGTTTTACATTTAAATGTTTGAAAAGCGACGTGGCAGCTGGGTTGGTTCATAATTCAATAACATACTAAGATATGTATAAACTAAAAATTATTGATAAATATAAAAATGTTATTTGTATTAAATTGATCACCCCAAAACTAGGGCTTATTTTGGGAGTAGGGCTTATATTAGATTCATCCCCCCAAAATCAAGCAAGGGCTTATTTTCAGGATAGGCCTTACTTTCAGGGAAACACGGTAAATATACATGCATATCCATGTACCTTCATATACAGGGGTGTGTGTATATATTCATATATTCATTTTTGTCTGTTTTTTGACTGGGTCACTGCAGATAACTTGCACCAACACAATTGTTTAAAACCGAAAACCACGCAACAGGACCAAGTTTTTAAAAGCTGCCTTGTACCTCTTTCTCTGCAGATGTCCAAATGTGATGGGTGCAAAAGGCAGGGCAAACTCAGCGAGTCCCTGAAGTGGAGGGGTGAAATCAAGCATTTTTGCAACTTGCTTTGCATTTTGATGTTTTGCAACCAGCAGTGTGTGTCAGATCCACCACCACCACCCCCTCCACCTCCACCGCCTCCGCCCCCTCCGCCTCCACCCCCGCCTCCAAATAATGCAGGTAAAAGAAAGGTGCGGGCTGGCATGAGGACAGCTACTGTAGAGCAAGCTCCAACACTGGGGGTTCTTAAGAAGAGACTGGACAGCCATTTGTCTGAAATGGTATAGGGCAGTGATGGCGAACCTTTTAGAGACCGAGTGCCCAAAAACTGGCCCCGCCCCACTCCGCCCCCTGCTCCGCCCCCATCCCGCCTGCCCGCAGGGCCACTCACCGCCTCCAGGGCCCACCGCAGATCGCCCAGGCAGCCCAGCAGCGCCATGGCCACGCCCTCTGCCCGCACCCCGCAACACCAACTGTGCACGATGGGGCATGAGGGCAGAGTCTTGTCTACGCTGCCTGGCTGCCATGTCCTTGGCTGCGCTGCTCCGCATGGGCCATGCTCAGGGGCGACTCTCCTCCAGGGGGACTGCTGGTGAGGAGGGGGTCACGGGGGGAGGCAAGGCTGGGGCAACGGCACGTGTGCCCACAGAGAGGGCTCCAAGTGCCGCCTCTGGCACCCGTGCCATAGGTTTGCCACCACTGGTATAGGGTTTCCTGCTCAAGCCTACACGGGTTCAGCTGAGAAGATGTAGCCACCTCTGCCTGTTGCAGTTAGCACCCCATCTCTCAGCTGTATGCACAACGGATTGTACCTCAGATGCAATATATACGAAGATGGACATCACTAATTGGAAAGAACACCACAGATCTATCTTAGGGATAGAGATTCTCCATGCCTTTTCTCACACTCAGATAGGATGCCTTAAACACACCTATTTGTATGTTGGATGTAGAAAGACTTTTTTTTTAATGTCTGTGTGTAAACACTAGACCAGGGGTAGTCAACCTTGGCTCTTTTATGACTCGTGGACTTCAACTCCCAGAATTCCTGAACCAGCTAAGCTGGCTCAGGAATTCTGGGAGTTGAAGTCCACGAGTCATAAAAGAGCCAAGGTTGACTACCCCTGCACTAGACTCTTGCCGTCGTTAACTATGTTCCAACTTTCCTTTTCCACCCAGCAAATGTTTCTATGACACCAACATCTTCAGCAGGGCCCGCTTTATCTCTCAGGAAGGACTCCACTCCAGTGATTGCAAATGTGGTGTCTCTTGCCAGCGCACCTGCTGCTCAGCCTACAGCCAACTCCAATAATGTTTTGCAAGGTAGGCAGTGGGTGTGTCTTTTCTCCCCTCTACCTGTTAAACCCACCCCTTCTGTTACGTTGCTTCCCCAGATGTACATTGGCATGTTATTGCTATAGTATGGAACTGTGTCTCTAAACCACAGTAACTTTAAGCTTTCTCGGCTTCAGCTGCCAGAATTCTGGGACTTTGAAGTCCATCCAGGTTAAAGTTGCCCCAGGTTTGAGAAATGCTGATACAGAATGAGAATGTCTGAATGAGCGAGCAAGCATATAAGTGTGCTTTTGTAATCTGAATCGCAGGACTGCTTTCAATGTTAAAAAAGGAAGGAAGACACTTCTTCTATTTTTGTTTCCTCCTCACAGGTGCAGTTCCTACTGTAACAGCAAAAATAATTGGCGATGTAAGTTCTCCTGAAAATAATACCTCCTGATGGATTAAATTCCTGCTTACGTTCTGTCTTCATCACTCTGTCATGCATTATTTTTTTCTTCATTTTCTTTTTCTTTTTTGATAAATATTTTTAAAATCCTTCCATCCTTTCACTTCAACATAATTTAATTCATGGGATGAATGTCCCTCAAAATGTCTTAGATTCCAACTCATCCCTGACCAATATTAGTAATAGAAAAAAAAATGGTTGGGCATGTGATTGCCTCTATTTGTGTTTTGTACATGCTGATGTTACACTGACTAGTGATTTTTGCATTCACAAAATTAAGCTAAGTTACAGATATTTGTCATAACCTGGAAGGAAAAACTCCTTTGCTTAGCTTTGATCCTCAAGCTTCCCTGGGAAGTGACTTTGTATGTTTGTTTAAGATTTCAATTTTTATAGCTGCCCATCTCTCAGACTAGGCAGCGGACCTAGAATCAAACAACAGCAGGGAGAGCATAAAATCACCATCACTTCATAACATAATAAGGACTTAATGGCCACCCAAGGACAGTCTTGCTTGCCCCATATAAACACAGAACCCCATTAATAGTCAGACCCCACTTCCCGGCCTTCCTACCCAGAGGGAATATGCAATCTTAAAATGCTAAATGTTTTACCCCAAAAGCAAAGCAAGGCACAAAATCGTAGGCATAATTCAGGGGTCTTCAAACTTGGCCCTTTTATGACTTGTGGACTTCAACTCCCAGAATTCCTCAGCCAGGCACGCGTGCCTGGCTGAGGAATTCTGGGAGTTGAAGTCCACAAGTCATAAAAGGGCCAAGTTTGAAGACCCCTGGCATAATTCTACCAGGGGGCGTCCTTAGAATGGACATGACCCAGAACAGAAGGGGAAAAGCTGCAGAGCAAAGTAGTAACTGAGGCTTACTGGCCGTGCTGCCTCTTGTCTGGATATCCCCCTTTTCAGGATGGGTTAACAAACTGACTCTTGTTTTCTGACTTGAAACTAGGCAAGTACCCAGACAGATGCTTTGAAGCTCCCACCCTCGCAGCCACCCCGGCTCCTCAAGAACAAAGCCTTGCTGTGCAAGCCCATAACCCAGACCAAGGCCACTTCTTGCAAGCCTCACACGCAGCATAAGGAATGCCAAACCGGTAAGTAACAAACAAAACAATGGATTGCTGCTTAGGTTTGCAAGAGAGAGAAAAAAATAAAAAGACTCAGCAGCCATGCACATCACCTTTCGATGCATTGGGGCAATTTAAAGCATGCTGGCGGGGGGGGGGGATTCTGGGAGTTGAAGTCCGCACATTTTAACTTTGCTGAGGTTGCATAAACGCTGTCCTAAAATATATTGGCAGACTATATAATTGAGTCCAACTCTTGTTTAGGTTCAGCAGGGAGGAGGGAAGAAAGATTAGCGAACAGGAGGCCGCTGTGCAAAAAACTCCATTGTAATACTTTTTAAAATTCCTGGGAAGGAAATACAGTCATATTACGCAATATCGCTAAGAATCCTAAAGTTGTTCTAATACTGAGAAAGGAAATCCAGCAGGGGCAGAGTCCTGTTGCCATAGAGCAGGGGTAGGCAACCTTGGCTCTTTTATGACTCGTGGACTTCAACTCCCAGAATTCCTGAGCCAGCATGGGGGAACTATGGCCCCCTCATGACTCGTGGACTCCAACTCCCAGAATTCCTGAGCCAGCATGGGGGAACTACGGCCCCCTCATGACTCGTGGACTTCAACTCCCAGAATTCCTGAGCCAGCATGGCTCAGCTTGGAAACCTCTCCCTTTCCCCTCAGCATGGCTGGCTCAGGAATTCTGGGAGTTGAAGTCCATGAGCCATAAAAGAGCCAAGGTTGCCTACCCCTGCCATAGAGCCTCCATTGGCCTAAGAGTGAGTCATCTGATGTATTTGCCGGCCAGGGATTTACCTTGAAAGAACGGCAATATAGGGGGGGGAAAGGCCAGTGAACAAATGGGTATGCCGAACAAGATGGTGAGCTGGGTACAGCCATAACAATAATGTGGTCTCCTTTGATTCAACTAACATGCACAAGAATGAAGGAAGATCTATCTGATGATCTAGAGGCATTGGTATGGAAGCCTGGTTGGCATAAAAAGAAAGCTAGATTTAAAAAATGGGGTCTCTTGATTTATTAGAGAGGATCCTAAAGTCTCAACTAATGGGCTAAAGGGAGATTTTGAGATGAAGGGAAATATGATTATTAGATTTAACTATTGTTGGAAAATGATAACAAATAAAGGGATTAATTGGCCTAATATTGAGGATTTAGATTTATAAGGGAAATGAAAATTAATTATTAGGAAATAGCTTCGAATTATTGTTTAGCCCAGATAACACAGATGATGGATTTGAGACAATAAAGGATACTCCATTAGTAAGTGGTGATGTACTAGGATGAGAAATAGAAAATGCTTATGAAATAAAATAAGAATACATTTAAGTAGGTACTGGTGTATTCTAGATATCATAATTTTTATGTAGTGAAATAAAGGAAATTTGGATTACCTGTAATCTAAATATTATGGATATTAAAGGTTAAATGGGAATACTGTAATTAAAAATTAGGTAAAATTTAAATACAGGATGTGGGTATATATAAGCAAAAATATATTGATAAATGTTTTAACTGAGCTTGTTATAATTATAAATTTACTAGCTTAAATATGACATAGCAGATGTTAAGGGAAATAGAGAAGGGATTTTTTGATGATGTACCCTGAGAGATGTACTAAAGATTTTGTTATTGTACTATTGACTACCCAGTCACCACGCTGCTTTCTAAACACTTAAACGTAAAACTGGAAAACCAATAAAAACTTATTAAAAAAAAACAATAATGTAACATGTTAAAGAGAGGTGAACGGGCAGCTGTTTTTCTCCAAGAATCACACCTTTTCTTTTTAACACGGCAATGGAAAGAAGAAGAAGAAGAACTTCCACCCAAAATCATTATGGTGCCTGTTCCTGTACCAGTGTTTGTGCCAATCCCACTTCATCTCTTCACCCAATATACACCAGTCCCTCTGGGAATGCCAGTCCCGGTGAGTGATGTGCGGGGTGCCCCTTTCCTTCCAGCCAGGCTTCAAGATGTGCTAAGTCAAAGATTGCGTGGGTGGGCTTCTACCTGGCCAAGGTGCGGTGCCTTGACATGACCGCTTGTGATTTACAGGTGGCCCTTGACTTATGACCAGGCACGTAGCTAAGTAACTTCAGAATTACAAACCACCTGGATTCAAAGTTTTCAACCAAACGTTGAAGGAATGGACTTGGTTGTCTTGAAATTCAGTTGAATTTCATTTTCTGCCGTCACCTGATCATTTATGTCGTTTGCAATGTCCTGCAGTCAAGTGACTCATCTTCCCACCTCCCATCCCCGTAGACCGAAACAGCCCCATCCCTTCAGTTGATGTCACATGATTGGATGGCTTTCTGTGACTCTGGAAGCTTGTGGGCCTTATCCCTCTCACATGGTTATCACAAAATGTGCATCTGTGTGTGTGTGTGGGGGGGGAGATTTGACCAACTTAGAACTTTCCCAGAAAAGACCTGGATCAAGAGATTGCACAGTCCCGAGCAGTGGTGGGATTCAGCCAGTGCGCACCAGTTTGGCAGTTTTTGTTGCCCAGAACGGACTTCCGGAAGTGGCATCCACACAGAGAACTGGCTGTTCACCTATTTGAATCCCACCACTGGTCCCGAGTCTGATTAGGGAGGTGGGATGAGGTTCAGTGTAACCACACCCTAGAACAGTGATGGTGAACCTTTTAGAGCCCGAGTGCCCAAACTGCAACCCAAAACCCACATATTTATCACCGGGTGCTGGGTGGGCGTGGCCCATTGGATGAGCATGGCTGTGATCATGGCAGACTGGGTGGGTGTGGCGAAGGTGGGCGTGGTCACCTCGATGTTGCTCATGGGGAGGGACACCTGTGGGGGCCGGGCAGGGTTAGGAGAGATCCAGGGGGTCTCTGGCAAGTGGGGCAGTGGGCAGGAGGCTTGTCCTGCGGGGTGAGGCAGGGCGGGGGTGCCACTGCCACGGGACAAGGTGAGGCAGGGGCCGGGGTGGCTGCTGCCTGACACCATTGGCCCCCGCACATGGGGGCCGATAGTGTCCGTCAGCAGCCTCAGCCTGCCGACCCCTCAATCGGCGCATTTTGGGGTTCCGCAGCCCACCGCCAGCAGTTCAGAGAAGCTGCCTCTGAGCTGGACCGCCGGCCAACAGCTGAGGAGGCAATGCAGTGGGTCATGCCCAGGAAAAGGAGAGCATGCAAGGCCAGGAGGGATGGGATGGGGGGGGGGGAGAACCAGCTATGCTGCGATGCATACGGCCACATGGGAGCTCGGCAAGTTAGCCATCTCCAGGGCATGGTGCGCGTGCCCACAGAGAGGGCTCTGAGTGCCGCCTCTGGCACATGTGCCATAGGTTCGCCACCCCTGCCCTAGAAGCTCTCAGGAGCTATCTAGTAACTTCAAAAAGTTATAGCTTTAGTTCGGCAAGCTTCTGTCCATAAGGTGTAAGCACATAACAGAATGGACTCGATTGAATCTCACTGTCTTTATCTCTGGGTTTGAGCCTGACACATGGTTCACTTGCACTAGAATCCAGATGGGAATTTGCAGTTGATCTTCTAGCTAATTGCACTCCCCCCCCCCCTTCTCCATTCTCCTTCTCTTGAGAAGCCTAAGATGCTTAGGAAGGCTGCTGTCAACGAATCCCTGGACGGGTTGCCCTTGAATTATAGCCTCAATTATTATGGAGGCACTTGGCTTTTCTGAAGGGATGGCCTCTCTCTTGAGATGGCAGTGCTCAGGTTTAAGACCGGAAGCTGGCTCTTACTTGCAAGTGATACTTCACACAACTCCTGAGAAATAGCTGCTACCATTTCTCTCCAGGTCCCGGTTCCTGTCTTTGTGCCCCCTGCCCCAGAGAGCCCTGACAAAACAAGAGAAGCCATTCCAGACGTCAAAAAGAACTCGGCTAGCCCTTTTGAGGCTGATCTTCTCCAGATGGCAGAAATGGTTGCTGAAGATAAAGACAAGGAACACTCTCAAGGAGGTAGGTGGATTTCGTCTTAGAGGCGAATCTACGTCTCCCAGGATAACGTTGCAGGATCCAATCTGGGTCAGTCATCGGGATCTGAGCTTTTGGATTCGTATTGGAGCCTGTCCTCGGGGAACTTCTCTCTACTGGAATATGTGCTTTGGGCTGTTCCATGCGTCGTTGTGGGTCCCTTTAGCATAAATCTTAATTAAATTTTGGAATTTTGCAGAGTATTAATTTGTTCTAGATGCATTGGTTTATCTTGGTCTTTCTGTCTTATTTCAGGCTCTCAAACATCTGAGCATGAACTGTTTCTGGACCCCAAAATATTTGAAAAAGGTGAGCCCATGAGTCAGTTCAACAGAAAGGCAAATTTCAACTGAACACGAGAAGAAGCTTTTCTTACCGAAATAAAGTTATTTAGAACACATACACACACAAACACTCACATACACACTTTCAAGGTTGTGCAAAGTAATAACCTTGGTTTACAGCAGACATGTCAAACACAAGGCCCAGGGGCCGGATGCGGCCCGCAAAGTGGTTTCATGTGGCCCACGAAGCCATCCTGGAAACAGTGAGGGAACGGCCCCTGCTGCCTTGGCCCTGGCCCAGGCCAGCCGGGAGCCAATGTACAATTTTGTGGTGACCATCTATGCTGAAATGCATTCAGTCTTAGCTCCACAAGGCCGTCTGGAAACAGCGAGGAACCAGCCCCTGCTGCGTCGGCCCCACCCCCTGGGTGCATGCTGGGGAGGGGTCACCCTTTGTGAGGAATGAAGAAATGCACCATGCCTTGGCACTTGCCCCGGTCCCACCCCCTTCTGCCAGAGACCCTCAGATCTGTCCCACTCCTGCCCAGCCCCCCACAGGCACCCTTGACGTGAACGATGTAGAGCTGGCCACGTCCACCCAGTAGACCACACCCACTCCATCCACGCCCACCCAGTAGGCCGCACCCACCTCCCCCCCCGAGGGCAACCGCAATGCTGATGCGGCCCTCAATGAAATTGAGTTTGACACCCCTGGTTTACAGCATGGATTTCCAGCCTTGGCGACTTTTAAGACCGGTGGACTTCAACTCACAGAATTTCCCAGATAGCCACGGTGGCTGGGGAATTCTGGGAGTCCGCAAGCCTTCCAAGTTGCCATGGTTGGACACTCCTGGTCCACAGCAAACGTGGTCTCCTTAAGGCCCAGTTTTCTAATGGGCTTTTGCTGAACCCGCTGCTTAGCCTTCCCCAATCCCCTTCTGTGTTCAGCTTTCTTCCTTTGCAATTCCAGACCAGGGCAGCACGTACAGCGGGGACCTGGAATCGGAAGCAGTGTCAACTCCCCACAGCTGGGAGGATGAGCTGAATCACTACGCGTTACGCTCCAGTACGGTGCCTGAGCCCGAGCCTGAACCAAAACAGTTCTCCAAAGGCGAACTGGAGCAGGATCTGGAGGCCGACTTCCCATCAGGTTGGTCAGCTTTGGAAGAAAATGCTCGTACACACGACGGTGTGGCATCAACTCCTGGGCCACAGCCTTTGATTCCCGGCATCGCTCGCAGAGTGATTTGTGATTTGCCCCATTATTGACGATCAGCCTAACAGCTGCTGCTTTGCGGCTAAATCTGTGCCTTTTGTTTCCCAATTAGATTCCTTTGACCCCATCAGCAAAGGGCTAGGTCTTCATTCACGGGCACGAGCGAGGCGGAGACATCGAGACGGTTTTCCGCAACCAAAAAGACGGGTAAGACACAGGGTTGGGTTTCTTGTTTATTACCCAAACCAGAAGGTCGGAGATGATTTGCAAATGGGTCGACGATGGCAGGTCAGGGCGCCCAATGAAGTTCTACTTTTCCCAGCAGTCTAAGCCAATGTTTCTCAGTCGTGGTGATTTGAAGATGTGTGGACTTCAACTCCCAGGAGTTCTGGGCTCATTCGTGATTTCAGAATTCTGGGAGTTGAAGTCCTCCTGTCTTCAACCCTCAGCAGTCTCCAGTGACATAGAATATCCACAAGGGAGATTTTCTTCCATTTTCCCTGAGAAAATGCTGCAGTCAGGCTGGCCTGTCTTTAGGCTGATTTCAGCCTATGTCAGCAACAGGCTAAGACAGGGCCCCGGGCCACTGCCCGGTATCAAATCTGTGACCTGTTGGGAACTGGTCCACACAAGTGGCAGGAAAGCACACAGAGCTTCATTTGCTATATGTGGGATCTGAGTTGCACATGGGAAGACATTCCCCTGCTGCCGCTGCCACCGGCGGTCTGTGGAGCCAGAAAGGCTGGGGACCTCTGGGCTAAGAGATAGATCAAGGGTAGTCAACCTTGGCTCTTTTATGACTCGTGGACTTCAACTCCCAGAATTCCTCAGCCTGACTGCCATGCTGGCTGGGGAATTCTGGCAGTTGAAGTCCACAAGTCTTAAAGTGGCCAGGTTTGAGGACCCCTGCCTTAATGAGAAACATTCCAATCCCGTTATGAGTAAACTCTAGAGTATTGTTATTATTAATAGTTTATTTTAATGGAATTTTTGTTAGTTTTAATTATATGATACTATTATTATTTTTAATATTAGTATGGTATTGTTTAATATTTAGGTTATGAATATGTTTATTATTGTGTTTAACTTTAATTTGTTTAAATTTGTGTTAAAGGGGAGTTAAAGCGTATTATGGACTTGGTTATTTTAATAGTTGGTTAATGTTAGATAGATTTTGATTATTATATTTGTAACCCTGTGTTCAGCTCTGGGAAATGGGGGAGGGGGGGTGGGGTTTTGGGGTGGGTATGGGGGTTTATACTGTAATCTTTATAAAACTTTTAATAAAAAAAAGAGAGAGAAACGTTCCAATCCCTACTGTGTTTGTAAGTTGACTATCTCTGTAAGTCAAACCTTTATAATGCACAAACCATATTTTTTTATTATTACTGTTTTCCTTCCTTCAGGGCAGAAAGAAGTCCATCGTTTCTGTGGAACCCCGAATCCTGGTGCAGAGCGCATATCCAGGCTGTTCTGTTTCCGGGATGAGTCTCAAATACATGTACGGGGTGAACGCCTGGAAGAACTGGGTCCAGTGGAAAAACACGCAGGAGGACCAAGGAGACCTGAAATTTGGAGGTAACGCAGTTTTCTTGTGTTATCTTTGTTTTCAGTTTGGGTTCAGTGGTGGAGATAAAAAAAGCTTGGCTCGGCCTTTGGACAGAATAATGTTACAAAAAATAAAATGGGTAGCATCTGGATGAAAATTGGATTGTAAGATTTGGAAATGTATCGTTTAGGAATGCTAGAAGCGGGCTGATGGCGAACCTTTTAGAGGTGCCCCAAAACTGCCCCACTCCACCCCCGCCCTGCCCACCCGCAGGGCCACCCACCGCCTCCACGGCCCGCCGCAGATCGCCCAAGCGGCCCTGCAGCGCCATGGCCACGCCCTCCACCTGCGCCCCGCAGCATCATCTGCACACGACTGGGTGCGAGGGCGGAGTCTTGTCCCGGCTGTCATGTCCTTGGTTGCGCTGCTCTGCGCAGGCCACGCCCAGGGGCAACTCTCCTCCAGAGAGGCTGCTGTTGGGGGGGGGCATAGGTTCACCCCCACTGTTCTTGCTGATTCTAAATGGCAGTTTTTGGCTTAGGTCCATTGTTCTAGTTGCTGCACTTTGGGTTCCTATATACACAAATGAATTCCTTGGCTTACCTCTGTTCAGGGACGGGGTTGAAGAAAGTCAAGATGACTTGAATTTAAGACATCGTCATGAGTTGAGACACAGGTTAAATAAAACTTAGAAGTATAAATACTAATAATTAAATTCGTATATTGGCTTGTGGTATAAATGCTGGTGGTGGTTTATTTATTTATTTATTTTTCTCTTTTTTCTGGAAAGGAAGGAAGTAGAAAAAGGAAAAGAAAGAAAAAAATTATTAGCCCTAAATATGAAATAGGAGACTGAGAAATTGGGATGATTTAAAATCCAGAAATGATAAAAATTAAACGTTAAATTTAAATACCAAATGCGAAATTATAGTTAAGAAAAACTTACTAGGTTATTGTCTAAAAGATGGAATGTCAAATTAATTAAGATATGTATAGACTGAAGATGATTGATGAATACTAGAAAGGTATTTTTTTGTTTGGTTGATAGAATAGGAACTGTATTGATCTGAATATGACAGTAGATCTTATGGGGGAAAGAGAGGGAATTAGTTGTTGTAATACTTTGAGATTTGTACTGATGATATTCAAATGTAATGGAATTATGAGGCTCAACCGCCACGCTACTTTTCAAATATGTAAATGTAATATTGGAAAATTAATAAAAAACTTGGGCATGGTAAAAAAAAAAAAAAAGAAAGTCAAGATGGCAGCCACAGTCCTCCGATCCAAGCCCTGCCCCCCCTTTTTAGGTGTGGCTTTGATTGTGTGATTGTGGCTGCCGTGCTGATTCCTTTTACTGTTTGGCCCCATTTCTGCGGACTCTTCTGCCCCCATTGCTAATTGAACTCTGGAAATCACCTCCAGTTGATGCCAAGGGCTGAGCTGAGAACCATCTCCTTCTGATGGTCAAGAAGCTGATCTGCTGTAGGTGCTTCTCCTTCCTACAGTTCGGTCCGTGAAGCTCAAAGAGGACATCCTGTCGTGTTCCTTTTCGGAGCTGAGTTTCGGCTTGTGCCAGTTCATCCAGGAGGTGCGGCGACCAAACGGCGAAAAGTATGACCCTGACAGCATCTTATACCTGTGCCTTGGAATTCAGCAGGTTATTTCTCTTCTTCTTTACGTCCATTTTCTGGAATTGCACGTCTTTCTTTGACCTCGGAGGAGTAGCAGGAAGAACTATAGCAGGGGGTTGGACTAGATGATCTCCAATGTCCCTTCCAACTTCATTATTGTTGTTGTTATTATTATATTGAAATGGCAGACGGGCTGTTAATTACGCTGGGCTTTTATGAGCCTCGTTTGTTACCAGTCTCCTTTTTTTAGGTTCCAGCTTTTACATGCAAAAACAGATTTCCCCTCTATATTGCTGGCCTATAATTCTGAATATAGAAAAGAATATTTGTCGTTCAGGGTTGAGCTGTGGAGTCCTTGGTGTTCTCCAAGCTTGGTTTTTTCCTTCAGACGTTTTCATGACCCGGCTTTGTAACTTAACTTAAGTGTGGGGTTTGCTCCCTGTTTACATAGAGTAGCATGTCCTGTCATGTTAGTGAGGATATAGTTTTGTCCTTGGTTAATCCCTTCATTATCAGTTGGAACCTTGATTACCAGTTGAGGGAGCACCGAGGACTCCACAAAGGTCTATTCATGTAGACCTGGCTTATCAATTGTACTGTCAATGCTGCAAATACTGTATATTCTTGCTTTGACAAAATATGCAGAACTGTCTGGTATTTTTAGAGTTAATTCAGATGATGGTGGGGGGGAGGAGAAAGATAGGACTGCGGGTGGGAAGAGACCGGAAGAGAACCTCTGCCCTTCCACCTGATAGGAGAACATGATATATGACAGCAAATTTAGGGAGGGAACATGCTGGTAAATTAATTGCTCAGAGGAAGAGAATGTTAGATCTTAGCATCAACTTCGTTGTGCCTGTGCCGACATTTTGTAACAATAAATTACTTTTAGGAAAATCAATGCCTGGAAGTTCTTTGAAGTGTTTCATTAGCCGGAACCATAACATGTACATTATACCTGAAGGACTACTTGAGGGTCATGCTTGAAAATGCAACTAGTGGAAGCATCTCAGTCTTAAGAAAGACCTGTGTTTTCTGGCCACTTTCCAAACCCTTCAAAGCATCGCAGGGGGGTTGTATTAAGATGGGACGACAGAACTGAATCTGTTGCTAAGGCCGGTGTCTCTGCCTCTGGATTTCTATAGAAACAGAGACATTTTCCCCTATTTTATTTTTTCTTTTTTTTCTTTTTTCTCCTTTGCAGTACTTATTTGAGAACGGCCGAATAGATAACATTTTTACTGAACCCTACTCCAGGTTTATGATTGAACTTACAAAACTGTTGAAAATCTGGGAGCCTACAATCCTTCCAAACGGTAAGCTTTGGCAATTTGTTCAGTCAGGGACCTTTTGCAAAGGGAGCAAATATCTTGGAAGGAGGATGGGTCTGAATTCCTTTGGTTTGATCTGGCCGAAGTGACTCTTTTGTTGTTGTTGTTTTTGTTGTTTTGTTTTCCCTCTCTTGCTCAACCTGCAGGTTACATGTTTTCAAGAATCGAAGAGGAGCACTTGTGGGAGTGTAAGCAGCTGGGCGCCTACTCCCCCATCGTGCTCTTGAATACACTGCTTTTTTTTAACACCAAATACTTCCAGCTCAAGAATGTCACTGAGCACATGAAGCTGTCCTTTGCCCACGTCATGCGACGCACCCGGACTCTGAAATACAACACAAAGCTGACTTACTTGCGCTTCTTCCCACCTTTCCAAAAACAGGACGTAGAGCCAGGTGGGTAAACCTATCCTCCTTGCCTTTCTCATAGTAGTAGTAGTAGTAGTAGTAGTAGTAGTGTAAACCTATCCTCCTTGCCTTTCTCATCATCATCATCATAAAGTTGGAGGTGACCTTGGAGGTCATCTAGTCTAACCCCCTGCTCAGGCAGGAAACCCTATACCATTTCGGACAAATGGCTGTCCAGTCTCTTCTTAAAAACTTCCAGTGTTGGAGCATTCACCGCTTCTGGAGGCAGGTTGTTCCACTGGTTAATTGTTCTCACTGGCAGGAAGTTTCTCCTTAGTTCTAGGTTGCTTCTCTCCTTGATCAGTTTCCATCCGTTGCATCTCGTCCTGCCTTCAGGCGCTTTGGAGAATAGCTTGACTCCCTCTTCTTTGGGGCAGCCCCTGAGATATTGGAACACTGCTATCATGTGCCCCCTCGTCCTTCTCTTCATTAAACCAGACATACCCAATTCCAGCAGCTTTTCCTTATATGCTTTGGCCTCCAGTCCCCTAATCATCTTTGTTGCTCTTCTCTGCACTCTTTCTAGAGTCTCAACTTCTTTTTTACATCGCGGTGACCAAAACTGGATGCCGTATTCCAAGTGTGGCCTTACCAAGGCCTTGTAAAGTGGTATTAACACTTCACGTGATCTTGATTCTATCCCTCTGTTAATGCAGCCAAGCACTGTGTTGGCCTTTTTGGCAGCTGCAGCATACTGTTGCCTAACCTGCAAGCCTGGGGTTTCTTCCCAGTCACCCATTCAAACACCAAGCAGATTGGGACCCGCTTAGCTTCTGAGGCCAACACGATCAGCCCGCTGCCTTTTACTGGGAAGCCCAAAAATTCATTGACCAGGACAGCGACACAACCATTACTTTCATTCCCCCCCCCTTTCCTTACTTTTTTTTTCAGCCCATCTTTTGGATTAAGCATTCAGGCCCTAGGATGAAGGGCAATGTTTTATCAGGCAGCCTCCCTTTTTGAAAATATTTATAGAGAATATTGGGACATTTGCTCCCAATTTCTTGCAGGACAGAGATAATCTTGATTCCTCCAGCGCAATGTTACGTCCCAGGAATGTACTGAGAGTGCTAATCACGAATAGATAGTGGAATCCTTGGTGCTCTCCAAGGTTGGTGGTTTGCTTGCCAGTTAGGTAACATCGTAGCCTTTATTCAGTTTTCTTCCCATTTTTTTTTTAAAAAACTGAATGCAGAAATCTCTGCTTCGCTAGAGCTGCCTTCTATCTTAGAATGCAGATCAACATGCTTTTAACGGAGAGAGGGCAAGGCTGCACCTCTGGAGCCTGGTTATCTTTTTGCTTTTCCAACTGGGCGATTTATTTCAGTAGTTTCCTTTGGTTTTTATTGTGTTCCCAACAGAGGAATGGTAGGAAATGGCCGTTTTAATTTGCTGGCATAGTAATCCAGAAGTTGGCTGTTAAATGAAAGGCCTTCGTGATTGCTTCTCAATAAAACAAATTCCCAGGCAAGGGAAAACCTCCAGGCATCTCACTGAGCAGCTAACTTGCTTTGGGCAGGACCTTTTTAGGTTACAGCAGGGGTGGGCACAGAAAAGAGTTTTCTCTCCTCACCCTCCCACAGCCGCCAGCTGACTGGAGCGCACAGCAACTGGGCAAAGCTGAACTCAACTCAATTTCTCTCTCTCTCGCCCTGTGGCATGCTTTGTTGTTGTTAGTTCCTAAGTCGTGTCTGACTCATCGCAACCCCATGCACAACGTTCCTCCAGGCCTTCCTGTCCTCTACCATCTTCTGGAGTCCCTTTAAGCTCACGCCTCCTGCTTCAGTGACTCCATCCAGCCACCTCACTCTCTGTCATCCCCTTCTTCTATTGCCCTCCATCTTTCCCAGCATCAGGCTTTTCTCCAGTGAGTCCTTCCTTCTCATTAGGTGGCCAAAGTACTTGAGTTCCAACTTCAGGATCTGGCCTTGTAAAGAACAGTCGGGGTTGATCTCCTCCAGGCCTTCCTGTCCTCTACCATCTTCTGGAGTCCCTTTAAGCTCACGCCTACTGCTTCTGTGACTCCCTCCAGCCACCTCCTTCTCTGTCGTCCCCTTCTTCTATTGCCCTCAATCTTTCCCAGCATCAGGCTCTTCTCCAGTGAGTCCTTCTTTCTCATTAGGTGGCCAGAGTACTTGAGTTGCAGCTTCAGGCATGCTTATTTATATTTAATTTCTAATTTCCGATTGACCTCACCCGGGCAGGGACAGCCAAAGGGCCAGGGGTGGCTCAGGGCTATAAAACGGCTAGGTCTGGATTACAGAATAGAAGCAATCCTGTAACTGCACCCTGTCTGCAATCCAGGCCCAATGTTGCCATTTCATCTGTAGCTGTTGCGTAGTATTTCACAAGGAACGCCAGGCAAGAAAATGAGACTTTTCACTGGCAGTCCTGCTGCTGTTGGGTTGGGGGTTTATTTGGCCTTTGTGCCCCCTTTCCCATCCCCGATCTTCCTTTTCCACCTCCAGATAAATTAGTGGGCAAAAGGAAACGTCACGAGGGCGAAGAAGCAGTAGAGATGGTTGAGAACACTGACAATCCCTTGAGGTGCCCGGTTCGGCTCTATGAATTCTACTTGTCAAAGTGGTGAGTGATGCTACATCTTCGGGCTAGTTTCTTCCCAAAGAAGAGATCCAGACCCTCTCTCCAAACCCTGCCCCCTTTTTTCTTTCCCCGCACAGTTCTGAAAGCGTGAAGCAGAGGAGCGACGTCTTTTACCTCCAGCCAGAACGTTCATGCGTCCCCAATAGCCCCATGTGGTATTCCACTATGCCAATAGATCCTGGGACTTTGGACATCATGTTAACGCGCATCCTGATGGTAAGGGAAGTGCACGAAGAACTTGCCAAAGTGAAACCGGAGGACTCGGATCCGGAGCTTTCAGACTAAACTTGGGCGAAGGGGAGGCTCTCTCTTTTGTTTGTTTGTTTGTTTCGGTTTTGTTTCCTTCCCTTTCCATGGTACCTTGCAAAAAAAAAAAAGAAAGAAAGAAAAGCACCAAACTGAATTGCACCCGGCCTTCAGAAAAAAATCACTCGTGTCACACACACACACACACACACACACACAAAAAGGGCCCCACACCTCTGAAGGCACAGCGGAAGCTGCAAAGAGGTTGCAAAACGAGACTCGAAGGATGGAAAGTGGCCGAAGACCCGGGAACACTGGAGAGCTTTCAGTGGCCGCAAACGCCCGTGAAAACCTTTGACGGAGATGAACTGGAGATCTGTCTCTTCCCCCCTCTCTCTCTCTCCCTGCCTCTCAAGTGGTGCTTGTAGTGGAATAAAAAAACAATTATGGATGTGTTTTCTTAAAAAACAGGAAAAAAAAATGGAAAGCAGTGGTGTACATCCTTCCCTCCTAACCATGGAAGCAAAGGAAGCTAGATTTAAGACACCCCCCTCCCTCCCCTCTGGGTGATTTTGCAGTGTAGCTGCTACCCACTCATCCATGGAGGTCGCCGAATACTTGCTATAGGACGCCGAGCGGGACGTAGTTGAGACGGAAGCCCATGGGAACGCCATCTGTAACATACACACCAGAACTGTTCCTTACCCTCTCCCCCTTTTATACTTTTTTTTGGGAGGGGAGGGTTCTTTAGGAAAAATGTTGGGTTGTTCAAAAAGGCTAACTTGGTCAGAAGCTGAAGCAAAGAGGGGGGGAACCTGGCGGGCTGCCCTCACGTTTTCTGGCTTTTGAAAACCCAGGCAGCAGGAGCAGGTCAACTTCAGCCAGGCCATCTCAACCAGGCTTTTATCTGAGGAAACAACTCATTTCTGAATGAACTCACGCACACATACTCAGCCGCCCCACGCAGACAAATAGGGTTTGGTCCTCCACCCATCCCTGTCTTGAGAGTAAGATATTCAAAAGCGGTTCCCGAGAAATTGTACCCCTGTCCCTGTATTATTATTATTATTATTTTTCTTTAACTGGACTAGGCAGCGACTATTCCTCCATTGCTCATTTATAAATTTACTTCTACAAATCCAGGAGAGTTTGAACGTCGGAGGCCTTGCGGATGTTTTTGTTGTTTGCATTATCCCACTGGTTGATTTAAAACAAGGCATTGTAATCCTCAGCATGATTTGTGTAGCGTCGCTTTTCATTAAAAAAACAAAAAAAAAAAAAGGCATAGAAATCGGATTCCAAATTTGAAAAGAGAACTTGGGTGGCTTTGGCTTTGCCCTAACCCTAACCCCAACCCCCCTCTTCCTCTGGGTAAAAAAAAAAAATCCCCTTTATCAAAACACAGGGTGCATAAGGCTTAGCCAAGTCCCATTTCACCAACCTGAAGACTTTTTTTTTTCCCCCTCAGTCTCCAAAAGATCGCTTTGGAAATCGAAACTTATTTTTTAAAAGAAAAAAAAATGGGGGAAAAAAATCGTACCTTTTTATTCGCGGTTTTGTCCATTCACCCAATTTCTTAAAAGAGTTCTTTAAAAAAAAAAAAAGCAAAAGAAAAAAAGAAACACCCTGCTGTTGGTCTCTCCAGCATTGAACAAAGCCTTTTGTGTATGTATGTGTGCGTGTGTGCGTGTGTGTGTTTGGGGTATTCTTTTTAACAGTAACAAAGGTTAACAATAAAATCAGAACGTAGTCTTCTCTTTTGCTGTTGTGTACTTGATCGTTCCCGTCTCCTGCCTGTAACGAAACCGCTGGTGCATTTGGGATAGTGCAGAAAACGGCGTACAGCAAGTCAAGTCTTTTCTAAGTACTTCCCCCTCGCATCATTTCCGTAATCTTCCCTGCACCCCGTCATTTTTAAACAAGATATCCCACATTTTATATATATATTAAGGCAAATAATTGCAAGCTGGAATGGAGGAAGAGACGTGGCAGAGCTGTGACTTTTCCAATAAATTTCTCAAATTTAAATCGCATGGATTTTTTTTTTAGGTGTTTTTAAAATACACGTGTCTATTTTATTTTATTAAATTTATATGCCGCCCACTTGCGTTTTGAGGCAACTCTTGGGCGGCTTACAATCTAATAAAACATAACGAGATATACCTAAATATAAAATATATGAATCCTTCCGGTATGCCCACACAGGTAGCTTTCCCCGTTACCATGTAGTTCAGCGGCTACCAACCTTTTCTATACCCCGCACTCCTAGAACGCTTCTGATATATTCCTCGCACCCCTTACAAAAGTTCAAAATAACGGCAACAAATTACACATATACACTATAATTTTGAAAAACCCAGTTTTTGCATCCCCTGGAATATTGTCTCGTACCTCCGATTAGGAACCCCTGATGTGTTGTTAGTTGCGAAGTCGTGTCCGACCCATCACGACCCCATGGACAACGTTCCTCCAGGCCTTCCTGTCCTCTGCCATCTTCTGGAGTCCATTTAAGCTCACGCCTCCTGCTTCAGTGACTCCATCCAGCCACCTCGTTCTCTGTCGTCCCCTTCTTCTCTTGCCCTCCATCTTTCCCAGCATTGGGCTCTTCTCCAGGGAGTCCTTCCTTCTCCTTAGGTGGCCAAAGGACTTGAGGTTCAACTTCAGGATCTGGCCTTCTAAAGAGCAGTCTGGGTTGATCTCCTCTAGGACTGACCGGTTGGATCGCCTTGCAGTCCAGGGGACTCGCAGGAGTCTTCTCCAGCACCATAGTTCAAAGGCCTCAATTCTTTGGCGCTCAGCCTTTCTTATGGTCCAACTTTCGCAGCCATACATTGCAACTGGGAAAACCATGGCCTTGACCCCTAATATATATATATATATGAAAAGTTGAGACAGGAACATATTTGTTTCATGCTGTGTAGTGTGTGGCTTCTGTAAAAGCAAACGCCTAAAACTGGTGTTGTAATTGCACAGGAATGTGCCCAGAGGCCTCCCAAGCACACATCCAGGGAAGCCGTCAGAAGAGTGGTGCTCTGTCCATCAGTCTACTGGTAGTTCTTGACTTGCAACTATTTGTTAATGACCGAAGTTAGTGACGACTTTTTACATTTAATGACCGCTGGAGCATCCCCATGGTCACACATTTGGCAATTGCTTCATATTTATGACGGATGCAGTTTCTTGGGTTCACGTGATCACCATTTGCGACCTGACAAGCAAAGCCAATGGAGAAGCCAGTATTCACTTAATACTAACTTAACAACAGTGACTTGCTTACAACTGTGGCAGGAAAGGTGGTAAAATGGAGCAACAGGAAGGCAATTACCTTGGCCCTCTCCCATAGGATGGTGTTCCACCCTTCCAGAAGAAGTCTTGTTTGGAGTGGGGAAAAGAGATTGGTCTTCCTAGAGCATTGATGGCGAACCTTTTAGAGACCAAGTGCCCAAACTGCAACCCAAAACCCACTTATGTATCATCCGGTGCCCGGTGGGCGTGGCCCATTGGGTGGGCGTGGCTGCGGTGGTAACGGCAGACTGGTTGGGACTAAAAAGTTCAATCAATTCCAACTTTCCAAGATCTTTTTTTTCCCGCTAGAAGTTGAAATTGAACCTTTTTTTTGCACACGGCGGCGGAGGCCTAAAGCGAAAAGATTTTATAAAATCCAGCTGAAGGCCTAAGACTTGGGTGACGGTGTGCGTGCCCACAGAAAGGGCTCTGCGTGCCACCTGTGCCATAGGTTCGCCACCACGGCCCTAGAGCTTTATATGAAGAAAAGCAGGAGGGCTCTGCAGAGCACAGACTCTTTTGAGGCTTGGGAAATGAACCCCACACCTCTTGGGGAGCAAGGGTGTTCTTTTGCAAAACTGAAGCCCCAGTTAAGCAGAAGCAGGATTAGCCCCCATTAGCTCCCATGTAACACCGCTGCTGCGCGAGCTGCATTGGCTGCCGGTGGCCTTCCGGGTGCGCTTCAAGGTGCTGACCATCATCTTTAAAGTGCTCCATGGCATCGGACCTGGATATCTTCGAGACCGCCTCCTGCCGCAGATTACCTCCCACCGGCCTGTACGCTCCCACAGAGTGGGTCTCCTCAGGGTGCCGCCGGCCAGACAGTGCCGGCTGGCGACCCCAAGGGGGAGGGCCTTCTCTGTGGGAGCTCCCACCCTCTGGAACGAACTACCCCCAGAGATCAGGGTGATCCCTGATCTCCCTTCCTTCCGCCGCGCCCTTAAGACTTGGTTATTCCAGCTTGCGGGACTGGCCTAGGGGAAAATTTTTAATGGGGGTTTTAAAGTAATTTTAAACTATTAGACCAATTACTAATATTTGTTTTTAATTATGTTTTTAAATCTGTAGTTTTGGGAGTTGCATTTTTATCTGGTTGTTAGCCGCCCTGAGTCCGCAAGGAGAAGGGCAGGATGTAAATATAAATAAATAAATAAATAAATAAAATAGTGAAACAGTAAAATGGGATTTGGTTTTGGCTGGAAACCCCCCCCCCCCTTTATGTAAACTTGAACAATTGTTCAATAGAGCAGTAAAAGGAACTGGATTATTGGAAGCACAGGTGATCCTCAACTTCTATAACCATTCGTTTAGTGACTGGTTGAAGTTAACAACACTGAATAAAAAATATTTGCCACCAGTCCTTGCGTTTATGGCCACTGAAATATCCCGTCACATGACTGCATCCTTCCTTGGAATGATAACTCTTTTTGTTAGCTATTTCCAGTCTAGGTTCCTAATCATAAACTACTACAAGTTTTTGTTTTTAGAAGTAAGCTAACAGAATATACCAGCTCTTTCTAAGGAATAACAAAGAGCATCTGATTTATACCATTGGTGAGCCATCCAAATGGACTAGGACCGCTTAGAAAACAAAGAGTTTTATTTTAGAATAGAATAGAGCTGAAAGGGACCTTGGAGGTCTTCTAGTCCAGCCCCCTGCTCAAACAGGAGAACCTATACCATCTCAGACAGGTGATTGTCTAGTCTCTTCTTAAAAACCTCCAGTGATGGAGCGCCCATGATTTCTGGGGGTAAAGCTGTTCCACTGGTTGATTGTCTTCACTGTCAGGAAGTTTCTCCTTAATTCCAGGTTGCTTCTCTCTTTGCTCAGTTCCCAACCATTGTTTCTCATCCTTCCCTCTGGGGCTTTGGTGAACAACCTGGCCCCCTCTGCCTTGTGGCAGCCCCTCAGATATTAGAACACTGCTATCATGTCTCCCCTATTCCTTCTTTTCTTTAGACTAGCCAAACCCAAGTCCCGCAGCCATTCTTCATATGTTTTGCTCGGGTCCAGCTGCAACAGAGAAAAGAACCTCACCAATAAAAGGTCCCAGGAGATTGGAAAAGGTTTATGTTTTGCCTTGCGCATCAGTAGTGCTTTGAGGTTCAGAAAAGAGGCTTGGGTTTTTTTTTTTTGCCTCTTCAGGGCCAGGAAAAGGAGGCGATTGCAAATTTGGGTCAACGGAAAACCCATCGAGGTGGACCTCCCGTTACATTTCACATAAACTGAAGCACGGGGGGGGGGGGGGAAGACAAAAGGTATTTTTATTACAAGAAAAGCACTAGGAGAAAGTAGGCTATTAACTACAATAATTCAAGCAAGGAGGTAGGAAGGGTAGCAGGTTTCTTTAGAGGCCTTTTGACAGTCAAAACTAATTTCATGGAAGGGTGGGGGTGTCCCCGCTGGCCTCTCAACCGTAAAGGTCCTTTAAGACTCCCAGCGCTGCTCCTGTGACTGTTGTTGCTGCCGACACGGCACCCGGCACCCCTGCAGCCCCTAGACAAAGAGAGGTATAAGGCAAAAGATAAGATGCCAGTCCCCATTGATCAGATCTATCCTTGGGTCAGGGCCAGGGCACGTACCAATGGACTGCAGGGTGGCAACCACGCCCCCAGCGGCCACTCCGCCTCCATTCGCGATGGCAGCAGCAGACATCATTTTGGCCCCAATTGAACCAGCCGCAATTCCTGCAGCACTGAAACCCAGAACGCCAGCTGCGGCCGGGATGCCCACCACAGCAACGCCTGTAGAGGAAGGAAACAAATGGAGCTGACCGTGGTCCTTGTGTCCCAGGAAGAATTGCCAACTTTTAGAGGCCAAGAGAAACTCCATAATGATCTAGGACGGGGGTCTACAACCTTGACAACTTGAAGACTTGTGGACTTCAGATCCCAGAATTCCTCAGCCAGCTATGCTGGCTGAGGAATTGTTGGAGCTGAAGTCCACAAGTCTTCAAGTTGTCAAGGGTGCAGGCCCCTGATCTAGGATGACCTGGCTGTCTTCTGAAAGACAACAGCCTAAACTAAGGATCTCCAAACTTGGTCACTTGTGGATTTGTGGAATTCAACTCGCAGAGTTCCTCAGTCAGCAATGGGGAAGAAAGAGCGCATGTCCTGAAGGCTTCTGGAGCATGTTGGTCCCAGAAGGATCAGTTACACACATGTTCTGTTCCACAAGTTTGCACCGGATGGTACCTGATGCACAGTCAAGATGGTCCACCTGCGGCTTGCTGGTTCCCACCACTGGCTGCAGAACGATTAATTCCAGCAGCAGTTTCTGACTAAGGTTTTGGAGGACATGAATACGAAGCATGGGGATGGGAGTAGTTTAGCTAACCCTCCCCACAACCAGGATCGAAAAGAGCCATGCCCTTCCAGGCAATGCCAGCACAGGACTTTTGGGGTTCCTACAGAAGATAGCACATAGTTGAATTGTGGTCCCCAATCCTGCAGTGAATCCCTCTCCTTGAGAATAATTCAGATTCCCCATCCTGATTTCCTCCAGGTTCAGGTAGACTTAGGATATGGTTGTTAAGCCAATGGGGTGGCCATTAAACAAACCCATTCTTCTGAAACTGACCAAAAACAGTCATGTGACCGCAGGACACGGCAATGGGTTATAAAGGCGAGCCTATTGCCAAACGCCCAAAATGTGGTCATGTGGCCATGCTGGAGGAGCAGAAGCAACATTTTTCCACCCCTGGAAATGCTTTATGGGTTGTAAAACATCCATTCCGAGGTTGTTGTCACTTCAAGCAGTCATAAGCCGAGGACTAACTGTCTACAAAGGCTATAATCCCAGGATTTACGTGCAGCAAGGTTAATTCTTTTCCTGTTCTGGTGATTTTTGAACAGAAAGCCCAGAATCCCACCCAATGTTCAAGGACTTTGAGCGATGGAATCCAAACGACTGGACATCATCAGCTTAGCTATTTTTCTCTTTCACCCCCTTCAGCCCCCACCTCTTACATGGAAGACACTAAAAGTCAAGGACCAAGAGAATAATCTCAAACCCTCAAGTTCCCACAAGGACCTGCATTTATATACGGATGGAGGAAGAAACCAGCAACTCACCCAGGCCAATCGCAGCACCAAGTATAGAATCTGGGGGTAAAGAGACTTATATTAATGAAGTAAACAAGACTGTAGTGCACAAGAATCGAAAAACCAAACAAAAGTAGTGTGGTAACAATCTAGACAAAATTGGACCAACCAGTTTACTGAACTCTACCTTCCTGACTATGTTCATGCCACATTTTCCAGCCTCCACCATAAATGAACCCCAAACAGTGTCATGTGTACTTGGGTGATAACACCATCCTGTGACTCTTAAGAGGCTGTAGGGAAGCTACTAACCCATTTTTCCCCAAGTGAGATCACAAGACCACAAATGGAGTGGTTGGAGCACACTCATCAAATCTGGTACACAAAAGTGTTAAAAGCTAGATGAAAAGCTGCCAGGCACAAAGAATCATAGTTAAGTTCTAGGTAAGCCGATTTATTGCTCAGGCCTATACGCAAGAATCTGGTCAACTAGAGATTAGCATTAAATTGGCACTAGGTAAGAGTTAACAGAATTCAAGAGGGGCGGGGCTCGGATCCCTTGTGGGAACTTAAGGACTCCATCTGATTCCTCTCTTGATTCTGGCTATCCTCCTACAAAAAAACAACACAAAGGCCTATATGAAAACCAAAATTATTGCTCCTCTTTCCATTGATATTGCTTTATTTTAACATCATATTGTTACTTCGTATCAGCATTTCTCATTCTCGGCTCCTTTAAGATATGTGGACTTCAATTCCCAGAATTCCCCAGCCAGCCTGCTTTATATGACCTATAGAATAAAATGTGACTGAAAGATTTGTCATTTTTTTTTCTGTCAACACACTGGCATCCATTAAAAAATCAAATTCTGATGCTCCCCTCTCAGAAAATACAGGTAATCCCCGAGGTACGAGCCTAATAGAGCCTGCCCATTAGGCTCGTAATCATCAAGTGAATCAGACTCAATGTTACATTTTAAAATCAAACTCATTAATTGAATCAAATAGGTCGTTAAATGAACAAAGATTTGATTTACTATTTCCTCCAATGGCTGCCTCAAATGAGAGACTTTTCCCCGCTGCTGCTGCAGGCTGTTTCCAGCCACAAATCAGCTGTTTCCAGTTTCAGTCACCAGAGTACTTGTAAACTGCCTCCCAAGTAGGCAGTAGGTTTTTTTTTAAAAAGTCATTTGTTGCTAGGCAGCTCAAGCTTCTTCAGAGGGGGGTGGAGAACTCTATGATTGCAGCTGCCAGTAAAGTAAAGTAAAAAGAGTAAAGTAAAAGTAAAGAGTAAAGTAAAAAAGTAAAGTAAAAAGTAAAGTAAAGTAAAAAGTAAAGTAAAGTAAAAAGTAAAGTAAAGTAAAATAAAATAAAAAGTAAAGTAAAGTAAAGTAAAGTAAAGAGTAAAGTAAAGTAAAATAAAAAGTAAAGTAAAGTAAAGTAAAGTAAAGTGTAAAGTAAAGTAAAGTAAAGTAAAGTAGGAGTTTACAGAAATCTCTGATTGCTTTAAAACACACACAAACACTTGCTGGCCATTAGCTTAAACGTCTCCAGCCAGGCATGCAGAGGGAGACGGGGTACTGTCGATTTGCTAGTTTGCAACAGTAACTGAGATGGAAGGGACCTTGAGGTCATCTAGTTTAACCCACTGCTCTCACAAGAGAGTACAGCATTGTACTGTATTTCTGATAAATGCCTATCCAGACTCTTCTTAAAAGCCTCCAGTGAGAGAACACCCACAACCTCTGGAGGCAATTTAAATTTAAAACCTTCTCATAGGCCCAAACCGGCCCAGGCAAGTCACAGAGTTAAAATGGTCGCCGCAGCGGCCGAGACTCAATCCAAGTCACATGGCTACAGAGGCCTGTTTTTGATCGCAATTTTGAATTTTTAACATAAGTACCCTTTCTGAATAACCTCATTTTTGTGAAATGTCGCTAAATAAACGCTCGTATCTGGGGGAATTACCTGCAAGCCGAAATGATGAACGTCCACTCAAGCTAACAGCACTATCTGGGATGAAATGCTTTATCCAAGTTTCCATTGCAATGACGACAGCCGTTTCTCATTTGCCAGTTTATTAACTCTAGCTTCCTATAATCCATTTTAGGCTTTAAGGAGCACATTAGCAAATGAAATAGATGGTAGCAACACTCTATATCAGGGGTCTTCAAACTTGGCCCTTTTATGACTTGTGGACTTCAACTCCCAGAATTCCTCAGCCAGGCACGCAAGTCATAAAAGGGCCAAGTTTGAAGACGCCTGCTCTATATGTATTAGCCTTTAGCTTAGTTGTTAGACCTCCACTCTGTCTGCCTGTCTCCTCTTTCACATTTCACATTGCCTCCACCTCAGAACGCGCAACCCGACACTGCTGCTGTGCTGACACTTTCAACCGACGCAACAGACTCACCCCGAACAGCTTTATCCACAGTTCCTCTCTTGCTAAAACTCTCCAAATCCAATGCAGAGCAAGGTCGCGTAACCCTTTGGAAATACAACTCTGCTTTCTTGTCACAATTCCCGTAGAGGATGGCCCTTAAGAGTGTTGGGGTTTTGCCCACTTGAGAGTGAAGGAAGCCGGTGCGAAGTACCGCCATTTCACAAAGCATATTGTGGTGGGAATGTAGTCTGGATTCCCAGGAGGGAGGAGCTGCTTTCCAGAGAGCAAAGAGGCAATGCAGCTTGAAGAGTTTGGCTAGCAGGAAAGGGGTTAAAACGTCTCCTCTCTAATTATTCCCAGAGTATATCTGCAATTATGCAAACAGTTGCTTCAGTCTGGCAAGATTCTTCTCTAGAGACATATGAAACAATGAATAATACTGTATCTTCAAAAAAATAAAATTCACAAGGAAAGAACCACCCATTGCCTTTCCTATATATCCTCATCAGCAAAGGCAAATTAGAGCCAGTTTGGTCTAGTCCAGGGGTAGGCAACCTTGGCTCTTTTATGACTCGTGGACTTCAACTCCCAGAATTCCTGAGCCAGCATGGCTCAGCATGGAAACCTCTCCCTTTCCCCTCAGCATGGCTGGCTCAGGAATTCTGGGAGTTGAAGTCCACGAGTCATAAAAGAGCCAAGGTTGCCTACCCCTGGTCTAGTGCAGAGGTCCCCAACCTTTTGGGCACCCGGGACTGGTTCCATGGAGAGAGGTTTTTACGGAGTGGAGAGTGCATGGTTTTGTGTGCTGCCTGCATCCCACGGATGGGGCTTTGCTTGTTTGTGTGGACTGGTTGGTGGCATGCTGCGGCCCGGTACTGGTCCACAGACTGGGAGTTGGGGACCCCTAGTCTAGTGGTTAAGGCACCAGACTAGAAAGCGGGAGCCTGTGAGTTCAACTCCCACCTTAGCCATGAAAGCCAATCACTCACTCTTAGTCCACCCCACCAGGCTGTTGTGGGGAAAATAGAAGGAGGAAGATGGAAGTTTACCACCTTGAGTTATTTGTCAAAACAAAGGTGGGACACAAATAGGTGAAGAACAACAAAGGAAACTAAAGTAACTGCAGGTGCCATTCATAGTTCCTGGGGCCTGACATTTATTTTTTGCTTGATACAAACCCCAAGGAAACTATTCTATTATTTGGAGGAGAGGGCGAATCATACCAATTCAAATGGCAGGGGACACAATCTGAAACTGACGAAGCATGACGGGCAGGCCCAAGTACTAATAGCAAAAAAATATTTGCATTCCAACTAGCTGTAGTTGACTGCACAAAGCGACTAGATCTAGGAACCCCCCTTTATGGCTGCACTCCCATAACCGGCCTCTCCTGGTTCCTTAATATAACTTAACCATCCAAAGGAAACAAGACTTTCAAGTGAACAAAGCAGGAAAAAAAAAATCAGGTTTAAATCTAACTTGCTTAGTTATAATATTGTGGCTGTAGACTGACCACCTAGGTTGCTTCATTCATTTGAGGGTAATAAAAGCAAGGAGAAATATTTCCAAACAAAACCAAATTGGGAAAAGGGGAAATTCAGGGAAGGGAGGGGAAGGGAAGGAAGAGGGGAGAGGGAAGAGGGGAGGGAGAAGGGAAGGGAGAGGGAGCAGGGCAGAAGGGGAGGGCAGGCCTGAGGGGAAAGCATCTGCTACCAGGAAGGGTGGAAGGAAACTGCCTTGCTAACAATTAGGAGGTACTCAAAGAGCAAACTCACCCATTGGTAATGATTGGCCTTCTTTTCCAGCCGATGCAGCGAGCCCTGCACAAACACAAATGCAGCTGAGCCAGCCCAAAAGGAATTATGTGCAGGAATTTTCTCACCCTGATCTTGGGAAGAGGAGACCCAACCATTCTCTCCCCCCCCCCCCCGCCGTGCATCTTGCTGGAAACAGGTGAGCCAATCCTAACCCAAAGGCTCCCTCGGCAGTTCCAACCCCCATCAGCCCCAGCCAGCAGGAACAGGATGCTGGCTTGTGTAGTTGAGCAAAAGGAGAGAGAGAGAGAGAGAGAGAGAGACAGACTCTTCTCGCCTGCCGGATCAGGCGCTTGGAGGAGTTGCAGGGGCCTCTTGGAAAGGAGCCATTCCTTGCCACCCTTCCCTCCTCCTCCTCCTCCCCCCTTGCAAGGGGGCGCAAAATGCATTCCCTTCCCCTTCCAGCAAGCCCTTTTCAAAGCCTTCCGCGAGCATCAGGGGGG